CCTCCTGATTAGTTAGTGATGACAACCATTTATGTGAACTCTAACCTTTAGAGGCTGCCGTCATGGTGAAGAGATGTTAGGATTTGAGAGAACAGGTATGCGCATTTTTTGCATCAAATTGTCCTGACCCCACTGGTCGAGAGTGAGTGATTCATTTCCTTGTTCTTTACACTCTTTACCCGGTGAGGACCTAAATGGCTCGGTCTTGATTCTGATATGTTGAGTTTTATGCATGAGTTGACTGTCTTGAGTGATTGATTGAGTCAAGTCTAGGTTGGTTGATGAACAGAAGGGAGACTCCTCCTTTACTCGATTTGGCTGCACTCGAATGTCTTCTGTGGTGGTTGTCCAGGTTGGTATTAAGGTTGTTCATGTGTTGATGTTTGAAAACCAGTATGATTCTCGTGTTTCTGTGCCTATATGATTTGTCCCCAATGTTGGTTGGTTGAAATATGTGAGCTTACCTTGTGTCTGACTTGGTTTGCTTGGGGACAAGCAAACGGTTAAGTGTGGGGGAGTTTGATAAGCCGTTAATTGCACATGTTTTTACCCCTATTCTGGAGCCGTTTGGGATGGTAATTCTTGTGTTTTAGGCCGATTTCACGCTAGATTGTGTTTGTTTGTGATATTTCAGGTCCTAGCAAGTGAATGAAGGTTTAGGAGCGAGTTCGGGGTCGATTGGACGAAGATCGGGCGCGAGGCAAGTCGAAAAGGAAGCCACACGGGCACACCCACAAGTCACACAGCCGTGCAATTGACCACTTTGGCCGTGTGAGATTGTGCGAGCCTTCACACGGCTTGCCCTGATATCCACACGGCCGTGTGAAGGAGTGGTTTGGCCGTGTGGAATTATGCGAGGCTTCACACGGCCAGGCAGGGTGATCCACACGGCCTTGTGACCCTGGCCGTGTAGGAAGCCTGAAGTGCAACTAATCGGGACGCAACGTTTTGAAGTCACACGGGCAACTGGGTATGGCACACGGCCGTGTGGCCTTGCCCGTGTGAGTCGGGAATTCCTGGTTTTAACCCAATTTCGGGCTGCAAGAGAGAGGATCGGAGTTTTTGAGCAAAAACAGAGCCCTAGAGAGAGAAAGGACGAAGAACACATCATAGAAGCTATCTTGGAGCTGGGTTTCATCAAATCGAGCTTGGAGATCGTCATAGGAGTGGAAATCATCATCCCAGAGCAGATTCTTCCCATTGTAATGAGAAGAACAACAACTACCTCAAACCATAACAACTACTTGAAAAACAACAACTACCTCAAACCATAACAACTACTACATTTGATAAAAATTCGACCAAACTACATACCACATCTATTACCACTACTTCCTCTTCCACCACCTCTCGCACATCGTTGGCCACCACTTCCTCTTTGCTGGCTACCACTCCCACTTGCTTGGCCACCACAAGTTGATGCATTATGGCCACTTTAGTTACAGTTGCTACACACTTGTTGTGATACACCCTCTCTTGGCCAATCCATCTCGTTGTGAATTCTTGTAACTCGTGGCCTCCCCGGCTTCCTAATCATGTGCACATTAGGATGGAGAATGAACCATTATGCTTCTTCCAACCCTTAGGTTCACCAAGAGGTGTGAAACTTGTCCCATACAAAGCCAACACTGTTTCAAGCTTGTAAACATTGTTTACAAACCTATATGGATTAGCCCCCATTCGGTTGCAAGCTGCAATGGCATGAGAGCAAGGAATTTTATTTCCTTGAAATTTTCAACAAGTGTAAAATCCCGCCCGGTTGTAGTCGTCGAAGTGCACTGTGATTGTGTTCTAACATGTCATGTTGAAATTTTTGGGAGGAGTCTGAACTACATAAATGCCTTGACGTCGATCAACCCCGTCACAAAATGTCCAATTGCCTTCTGTGACCATGGCTTCATCATCTCTTCGCACTTGATGGTGAAATGTGAACGACCACTTCTGATTTGTGCTTCTGTCTCCAATCTCATCTTATCGAATTTCACCAACAATCGCCAATAAGTATGTTGCACAAGAGAAGCTATAGGAAGTGAACGAATACCTTTGAAAACACTATTGATGCTCTCTGCCATGTTGGATGTTAAGATAGACCATCGACGCCCACCATTATAGTTATCATGCGCTAAGATCCAATGAATTTGATGTTGGTCTACCCAGTTATCACTAGAAATATTCCTATCAGCGGCGACCTTCTTAAATTGCTCAACTTGACGATCGAACTTCTCCAAGCGTTTTCTCCGGCTAACAAAGTAAATAACCACACGAGTTAGATAAAATCATGACAAAATTAATAAATTAAAATAAATAACAAATTAAATGAAGAAGGCTTACTGACTCAAAATAGTTGCTTATACATAATTTTGCTTTTAGTCTTTCTTTTCAAGTTGCTTGCATAGTGTCGCATGCACCACCTCAATTCCCAACCTCTTCTGATGTCACTCATGGCTTCATAGAGTCCCGCATGTCTATCTGAGATGATGCATACATCATTTCGATTGGTCAAACCTTGAACGTGATTACGAACCATGGCCAACTTTCAGTATTCTCGCTTTCCACGATGGCAAATGCTATTGGAAAAATCTTCTTCCGACCTTCAAATGAGCTCGCCATGTGTAGCACTCCTTAATACTTTCCAGTAAGAAATGTTCCATCAACAACCATGAGTCCTGGACAATTCATGAATCCATCTATACAAGGTCCATAAGCCCAGAATACTCGCTGAAAGGTCGAATGACCTGGTTGAGCTGAATGAACTCTTACCCAATCAATCACTGATGTTGGCATTTTTCTCTTTACCACCGGCAATAATGTTTGCAAATAATCGTAGGATTCTTCCCAATTTCCATGCAACTTCTCCAATGCTCTTTGTTCCCCATACCAAGCCTTCTTGTAAGTAACTTGTGTATTAAATTTATCTTTCAACTTGGCCTGCACAGTTAGAACACTCAGATTTGGTTGGGCACATACCAAATGTTTGACGGACTCATATATAATATCGATCAAGATGGCGATGATCCGTCGGTTGAGTCGTACTGCTACAAGAATGCACCAACTCGGCCTTTCTCACAGTCCAATCGCTTCCAACATCTCGACATCCAAATCGCACCATCCAAGGACAATTGTCATCCTTGTGCTTCAAGCATCTGACCTTCCAGATTGAAGGTGACGACTCCACCACACTATATTGAATGTTGCGTTGTAGTGCGTGGTATTTAATCGCCACCTGTGCAGCTTGTTTCGAGTGAAATATCTACCCCTTGTAGAATTCTCCTTCAAAACCAGGAACAATAGGCATTGGAATTACGCCATATGAATTAGCATATGATAATTCGTCGTCCTCTTCATTACCCTGCAAGTAAAAATATGGAGGATAATTAGGCTACTCTCCTTCGCCATCCTCCTCTCCGTCAACATCGTCATGATCAGATGGCATGCTCCATGTATCTTCTTTTTCTCCATCCAGATTCTCACTGAGCTCAGCATGTATTTCAGCACCCAAACAATAAGGGTTTTGTGCCATAAAATTGAAAAGCACATTCAAACTATCATAATCCACAATAGGCATCGCATAATGAAATAAAACATCATTCTGCCATTCTGGAAGACGGTAAGTGAAACCTGTGATCACTTCACTATCTTGTACTGCTTCGTCTCTACGCCGTATTCTCAAAATTATATTCTCACAAAGTTTGTGATATTTCACCGTGGATGGAACCGTCAACGAATTGGACGCCCAAATTATCCTCTACTTTCTCAGATTCCCACAAAACGACTAGTTCAAATCATGGTCCATGAAACCATACCGGAGATAGTATCGGGAAAGTCAGCGGTAGGGTATTTTATGGTAAAACCGTGGTTTAACCGTAGTTCAACCATTATACCGGTAAATGTCGCATAGCGGTTTAGCCTCCGATACTGGTATTTCGTGGTTGAACCGTCGGTACGGTACGGTTTCATGGACACTGGTTCAAATCTTCTAAAATCACTACAGAAAAACAAACTCACTAATTAATTAAACAAAATCATAATAGCATTTGAAGGATATAATTTAAAAAATAAATGTGTCTCTTACCTATTAGCCATTTATGCAGCAGCAACCAGAGTTTCCTCCTCTAACTTCGTCGATTTTTTTGTGGTGAGCAACGGAAAGGAAATTCGCTGATTTTTTATAGGGGGTAGCCAGCAATAGGCCAACGGACCCGCCATAGTCCTGGGCGCCATCGCTAGGTACAAAAGCCCACCAACTCGCCTAAGTCTTTGGCGGTACCACCTCAATCTTGGGTGGCGCCGCTGTCACCTTAATCAAATGATCCTAAAAAATAGAAATAGTGGCAGCGCCTGAGTTTCAGGCGTTCTCGCCGAATTTGCTCTCCAAAACACAATAACTATGTCAATACTTTTTAATCCGCCATATTGATGGTAAATTAAAAAAATAATACAATATTTATTTCATTTGACCCATTTAGTTGAACCAACAAAAAACAAAAGGGAAAAGAAAGCGAATACCATAATATAAATAGACTTGCATCGATCAGGGCATTGTTCGCGGGCTTTGCTTCAAGTTCCCACAAATTTCTTTTGATTTTCCCGCCGAAAGAGGGGAGGTGGGACTTTAGGCGGAAATATTGCTGGCACTGCAGTGGCACTTCAACATTGTCGCTATCAACAGTACAAAAGCATGACTTAAATTAATGTCGGATTACATTGAGGGACCAAGTTCGGACCTTGTTAATTGGTCCAGGAAAGAAACAACCCTATCCACTATTCTATTTTCACATTTGTAAAAACTAAAAAGTCTATGTCTAACTACCTTGCAAGTGTGCAACAGATTCATGTTCTACTAAATCTTCTTCGAAAATTATCTGAATCGCTATTCGTCGCCCTAAATTTTAAATTTTATCGTCCTAAATCACACTAAATTAACACATTTACCCCTAACCTCCACTAACCTAAATTCTAAACAAACAATCCTTGTGGGGGAAATCCGCCCGCCGACCCCGCTACCTGTCGCAGCTTCCGACGGATTCTGCTCCCCGCCATCTCCATCCCATCTCAACCCAATCCCCCATCCTCATCCATCGCTTGTGCTCCTTGTGCAGCCAACCAACAACAGGATTCCGACCGCCGCTGCTGCCACTCCCACAACCATACATTGATGCTCTGTTTTGGGCCGTCTTTAATTTCAGCCCGCTAGCCCCGTTTAAGAACTCCAGAGAAGGGTAGAAATCGAGCAAGTCGAATCCTCCGGCAACCTGCGCAGCCTCCCGCATCGACTTGCTGATGTTGATTGTGTTTTTATCGTTTTGAGATGAGCTGTGGATAGAGTCTACTAGACTCGAAACCTCTGTTTCACGGATTGATGAGAAATTTTGTACCGTTCTCGTGCCTTTAATTAGGAACAGAGTAAATGAATCAGGAAGAAAAAATTGAAAACTTTCTTGACCATCGTGAATAAGCAAGACTGTTTTTTGTTAGTAATTAACAACCCAGAAACTCAGTTAACGAAATCCGCTTCATCTGCCGCCAGTACTTGCCGAGCGGGGAGAAGGCGATTTCCTGGTATGAAATCGAGGTGAAGAAGAAGGAAAGGAGAAGGAAGAAGAATCGACACGACCAGCTACTCTGTTGTCTCGGGGAAGAAGGCAAAGAGACTGTCGGCGTGTTGCTGCTTGACACGCCAAAACACAGCACCAAACTGCGACCAAGTGTAATCGCAGTCCGGGAATGCAGTAAAGTGGCAAGTTCTAAATATCAACTCGGGGTCTAGATCTACTGCCTACTCCGTGATTATCTATTATCTAGCCAACTAAGTCGATTGATTGTTGTTTTAACTAAAAGCAGAAAGAAAGCAGGAATTGGTTCGCTTTTCTAAAGCAAGGAAGAGTCACTCGGGAATGAGGTCCCCTAGCTCCTTAGTTAGGTCTCAGTTGTAATTACCCTGGGTTGATTTACTGTTGATTAGACTGTGGAAGATCCTACAGTAGCTTGGAATCTCTTAAGCTGACCAAGCCCTCTCAGTCTAACTACCCGGCAGACGACTAGTCTTCACCGGGATAGAAAGCTGAAGCAATAAGCACAGAACTCCACTACTGGAATTGGATTCCAGTACAAAGCAGTAAACTGGCTAACTCTCGTATAGCAATCTCCTACTACCAAATGAAGAAGCTCTAACAACCTAATCAGATTCTATCTATCTCAGGTTGCAGCAGAAATCAAGAAAAGCTGATCAGACTTCAATCAATTCAATGAAACATGCATCATTCGATTAAAACCAAACAGTATAATCATCCCGAGTCATTACAATCAAATCCCTAACACATGGAACTAGGGTTCTTCATACCTAAGTGAGAGAAGGGTTCTACTCCATAAAGAGAGAGAGAGAGGAAAACAGAAACCAGAATAGTCATACTCATAAAGATGAGGAAAATCTGCCCTGGATGTCAATCTTCACTCCTGGGGACGCAATCTGGGCTTCAATGGTGAGAAATCCACTCCAAATAGCTCCTAGGGTTTATTCTTCGCCCTTTCTCTCTCTAAAACTCTGTTTTTGCTCTGAAAAGTCGATCCTCTCACTTGTGGCTCGAATTTGGGTAAAAACCAGAATTCCCGACTCACACGGGCAGGCCACACGGCCATGTGGCTTACCCAGATGACCGTGTGAGGTCCAAAACGCCGCGTTCCGATTTAGTGGATTTCAGGCTTCCTACACGGTTAGGAGCACATGGCCGTGTGGAGCCTCCGGTCTGCCCATGTGAAGGCTCGCATAATCCCACACGGCCACATTGGTTCATGACACGGCCGTGTGGGTTTTATGTGTGCCCGTGTGGCTTCCTCAGCGACTCGCCACACGTCCGATCTTCGTCCAATCGACCCCGAACTCGCTCCCAAACCTTCATTCAGGCACTAGGACCTGAAATATCACAAACAAGCACACCCTAGCGTGAAATCGGCCTAAAACACGAGAATCAACATCTCAAACGGCTCAGGAATAGGGTAAAAACATGTGCAATTAACGGTTTATCACTGCTGCTTTTTATGGATGCAGAGGAGGAAGAAGATCCATGTATCTTTTTCTATGATGTTGGTCGGACGATTTTAAATTACATATTTCAAGCGACGTCACAAAAGAAAATTGACCTCCTTCCCTTCTCCAAGAAGTCGTGACGACGACGATTGTACACTCCGATGAGGTCGCCGGACTCCGACGACGAGTAAAGGTTGTTTTGATGTGTGCTCTGTGTATTTGTTTAAAGTATTGTGTTTGTAAAACAAAAAAAATAAACTAGGGACATTAAAGTAAATAGACTAAGAGTTAGGCCGACAAATAGTATTTTTAGGACGATGAATAGCAATCCCAAAATTATTTGGAAACTTCGTCTTGGTTGACGTTAAACTTCATTTCTACTTCCCATTCCAGTTGTTGTTACCTATAACACCATTTTATGACTATCTTATCATATTTGTTCATGTTGGGTGGAAAATGCACGAGAAAATCAAATTTCCAACCACTTTGTCTCTACAGTTTGAGTTCTGTGGACAAAATCGTCGTCTAAGAAAATTGAGTCAGTTTCGATCAAATGAGAGCACAAATCCTCAACCTTACCTCGTGTGCTGTTAAAAAAAAAAAAAAAACAGGATTGAGGGAATAAGGCTCCTATATATATAGAAGGGTCATGAACATGTGCTTATACTTTCTATTTTTACATTCTGGGTTAAGAACTGTGTTTTAAAAAAATGAAAAAATATCTCCGATTTATCTTTTTGAGTGTAACATGTCCAATCTTTAGTGTTGGACAAGAGTTTTCACACATTATAGTTAATACTAGGGTCAATATATTTGTATGACCTGAATTTTGATCATAATAAATATTATAATCAATCTTTTCGATTTATAAAATCTTGCCCAAACTATACATCAAAATAACGACATTGGCCAAACCCGATGTTTGACCGTTATCTTGGACGGTCAAATGCGTTGACCAACGGTCAACATGTCACGTCACCACCGGTCATCATCAAAATCACTAAAATATTCATAATTTACACATATTTTCTGATTTTGAATTATTACAATTAAATTAAAGCAAAATTTTATAAAAAAAATGAAACCCCCACTGGTGGCTCCCCTCCGTCTAGCAACCCTCTTCGCCGCCTGATTCCCTTCCTCCGCAATCGAGCTGACGCCGGCTGAAGCACTCCGCCTCTTGCGCCCGGTAGTTAGAGGGGTTTCCTCTTCCGCTTCCTGTTTCACCCCATCAGCAACCACATTTTCTTCGCTATCAACTCCCACCGCCGCCGGATTCCCTTCATCGAACGCTTCATTCTCCGAGTTGACACCAGTTGAAGCGCTCCTCCTCTTGCGCCCGACAGTCCTAGAGGTTCCATCGATGGATGGTGATCTAGAAGCAAGTCGGCCGCTCCGGCGGGGAGCGTAGAGGAAAGGAGTGACGGGAGTGACAGGGAGAGAGGCTTCAGGCTCTTTCGCTTCCTGTTTCACAAAATCCGCCGCCGCATTCCCTTCATCGACCGCTTTATTCTTTGCAAACGAGCAGACACCGGCTGAACTGCTCCTCCTCTTGGACCCGGTAGTCGGAGGGGTTTCATTGATGGGCGATAATTGAAGTTGGAAACGGATCTTGAGAATAGGGAAATCAGAAAGAGGAGGAAGAGGCAGTTGGGAAATCGGAAATCGAAGAAGAGGTTGTGGGAGTAGACAGAGGGAGCCGCCGGTGGATGTTTTAATTTTTGTTTTAATTTAATTTGTAATAATTCAAAATTAGAAAAAAATGTATAAATTGGGAATATTTTAGTGATTTTTATGATGACCAGCGATGACGTGACATGTTGGCCGTTAGTCAATGCGTTTGACCATCTAAGATAACAGTCAAACAACAGGTTTGGCCAATATAGTTATTTTGACGTCTAGTTTGGGCCAGGATGATATAGATCGAAAAGATTGAACAAGATGTTTATTATGGTCAAAGTTCAGGCCATACAAATATGTTAACCCTTAATACTAAACAATTTATGTATTTAGATATGTGAATATTCTAGATGTGTTGCATGTTTATATGTATACATATACCACTAGACTATAAGAGATATATATGAAATTATTATATTCATATTTTATAATCTTTTTAGTATTAAAGTTTTTTAAATTTTTTTCTCTTATTATGCAAGTCTTGCAATTATATATATTATTAATACGAGTTATTATTACTTCCACTTGTAGTAGATTGATTGAGGTTTGAGGAAACCCTATAGCCTATAGTGACGAGCGGCATTGATTCGATGTAGGTACCCACCCGACCCGAATATATATATTAATTTTGGGGGATTTGATTTCGCATGCAGTCGCCGGCACATCGACATTTGGCATTAAAGCCCATCACGCGCTTCCCCACCACCACCACACCAGCACGCAAATCAAATCTCCCGGCCCGTCCACATTCCCGAACCCCGACCCAAGCTGCCTTACCCTATTCTTCATTCACGTTCACGAGTCACGACACCGAATTCATTCCACGCACAGACCACTTCTAATATGCTATATAGTATTGGTGCTTTAATGTACAACTTAAAGTTGTACAATAACATTAAATGTATAAGTTTAGGTTGTACCATAAAGCAATTTGTACCATTATATTATAATACAACTTTACAACTAAAAGTTGTACCATCACATAAAGGTACAAGTTCAAGTTGTATCATAAAAAAATTTGTACCAAAAGTATAGGTACAATCTGAAATTGTACCATAACGTAAATGTACAATTTTAAGTTGTACCATAAAGGCAAAAAACCTATAGGACCAATACTATATAGCATTGTAAAATTTCTCTTCACATATATATATACTAAAAAATTGAATTTGTTCGAGTTGTTAAATGTATTTTTGAAATCTTACAATATCCACAGTTCAACAGGAAAAAAAATTATGCTAAAAAGTATATTGGGAGTACGTTTTTCGAAATATGAAACGGTCGAATGAAAATTAAATTTTAGTTTTAGTACAAAATATTTTATTACTTACTTTTTCTAATATAATTTTCTTGTAAATTTTACTATCCTTGAAATTATATGTATTTAGCGTTTAATTATTCACTTAAATTAACGACTAGCATCAATGAAAGACTATATATTGTTAATTTACTTGAAAGTTTAATAATATTATATAATATTATGCATGCACCTAAATTTGAGATAACAATTTCCAACCTTTTATCTTTTATTTCATGTGTCAACATGTTATACTCCTGAAATATTTTTAATTTTCATGTACTCATAGTGATATATACTTCATGTATTCCTTAAGTATATAGGTTACTTCAATCAATGACTTCAGTGTACTCATTTTTCTATGTGCATTCAATGCATCTAACTCTAGAAATGACCATGATACATCAAATTTTGAATTGTAATTGATAGCATTGATCTAATATGATGATATAACATATAATTACAACTAACCAATTCATTATCCTTTAAATGAAAGTAATATTGAATGATTTTTTTTGCAAATTCACGTGTTTATTGTTCATAATATCATCAGCAATGATGTATACCGTTTTGACATGAATCGCATGCTCAGAATAACAATTATAAGACGAGTGTACCGAATGCACAAAAAAAAGTGGGTGCACCGAAAACGCCACTTCTGATCAGTTTGAAATGATACTATACTTAACTTCGATTCTCTAAATCCAAACTTGACAATTAGATTTTAAAAAAATAATAAACGATTCTAATTTGTCCATGACGTGACACCGCATGATCGCTGGTATGCTATCATACTATATCTCTCATGCAAGAAAAAGGGCTTAATTGCAAGTTTGGTCACTCGAATTGCTATAAAATTTCACGTTTGCCACTCAAATTAATTTATTCCATTTATAGTCACTCGAATTAGTTGAACAGTTCAAGTTCGGTCACTCTCCGTTAACCTCTGTTAACTTTGACTGACGTGGCGGTCAACTCTGACAGTTGACCGTTAAATGTGTGACGTGGAAATTAAAAAATAATTTAAAAATAAAAATTAAATTTTTAGAAATTACACATCATTATCACAAAAAATTATAATTATAAAAAATAAAAAGCCGAATGGAAGCAAAAATTCCCAAAATCACTTATCGCAGCTTCAGCTTCCCAATTTATTCATTACCGAAAATGGCAATTCGGACCACTATCAGTTCTATGTTCAGCCCTGCTCTTCTCTTCCTGAGCCTCCTGTCCGCCTCCGCCGACTATTCAAACTCGTCGGCGGCGGCATCAGAAGCAGCCGGCGGTGGTATCGGACCATGCTTCACGTCACTGTTCAGCTTCGGCGACTCCATAAGCGACACCGGCAACCAGATGCTGCAGGGTAAGTGCCCTCACTGTTGCTCCCTACAAAACGGCGAAACTTACTTCGGTCGCCCGACTGGTCGCTGCTGCAACGGGCGTCTCATCGTCGACTTCATTGGTAATATATATATTTCACTTAACGCTAGCTCTTCCAGCGGGTTTTCTTAATTATACCTTGCTGCATATATATATTGAACTCAATGTGTAATGTTTTTGTTTTCGGATTTGGGTTTGAATCAGCTGAGAAATTGGGGCTTCCTCTGCTGACGCCGTTTCCGGGAGAGCTGAAGAGCAGCAATTTCCGGTTCGGGGCAAACTTGGCGGAGGGAGGCCCGTCGGCCTTTGAAGAGCAGCAACGTACGTGGCATCGTGACCACGTAGTAGCGGCCGTCTCGGCCACCGATGGCGTTGCGGCCGAAGCCGATGGCGCAGTTGGCCAGGTGCTTGCGGTGGGATTGCCAGTTGGGGTCGCATCGCCAGCAGTAGTCGATATGATTGCCCGTGGAACAAGACTAGTATCCCAACTTCCTTCTCGCCGTGTTGTTCCTAATGCTCCTGTAAACAAAGATTCATGGTACGTAACAGATTAACAGCTAATCTAAAGAGAGTGGGGAAATATAACGATTAATGGCTTCTATAATGTGGGAGATGGAGCAATTATGGTTGGGAAGGATTTTTTTTTTCATTTTTTATAATTATAATTTTTTGTGATAATGATGTGTAATTTCTAAAATTTTAATTTTAATTTTTTTAATTATTTTTTATTTGCCACGTCACACATTTAACGGTCAACTGTAAGAGTTGACCGCCATGTCAGTCAAAGCTAACAGGAACTGTTCAACTAATTCGAGTGACTATAAATGGAATAAATTAATTTGAGTGGCAAACGTGAAATTTTATATAGCAATTCGAGTGACCAAACTTGCAATTAAGCCCAAGAAAAAGAAATGAACAAAGATGAAGGAAAAGAAGCCATGATCGACGCGGCCGAACTAAATACACAAAGTGAGAACTGAGAACGAAAAGAGACCAGAAAAACGGGAAAAGAACACAACAATGGCGACTTTGATTCCAAGAATTCACACGGAATCAGCTTTGGCTTTGTATTATATGGTATACAGTACAACAGGGACACGACTGTATCATCAGACCAGAGCCCTTTGCTCTTTTATTTTGTCTCTCCTTTTTTTGTACATTTACTTCACTCCCCAAATACATTTCTGGACGCTATCTGTATAAATTATTATGGACACACACAGAACAGAAAAAGGGAAGAAACAAAGAAAACTGCTTGGAAAGTGGCCAAAAGGGAAAAGAGTATCATATGGACAGACAGATCCCCATGTGCTTTGGTATCAACCTGATTGTTCATCGTGCCTGCTGCTGATCAGCAAACAGCAAAGAATGACCTGTCAATGGAATTTATGTGTTGTTGATATTTAGTGGAGGAAGTTTCCCCCAACAACTCTTCTTCTGTTTGTTGCTGCTCTCCAGAGATATCTGCGCACAAATGGAATCCAGACCAGGTGAGAACTTACAAAGCTACTTAACTAACTAGGGAAAGATTGACTTGACTTCTTGGTGGTGAGATGAGAAAGATAGTGAGCTCACCACAAGAAGATCTTCATCTGTTCCGAACGACTTGCGCGCTTCTTCTAAGCATTTGGATGAAATTTTCTCATTCTTCCTGCATTTTGCATTCGATAATTGGTTCATCGACTAGACCACATGGTTTTATTTGCAAATATGGGAAGTTTTGAAGATCCAGGGAATAAAACAAGGAATGGAGTGTACCTGGAACTTGCTGGATCTCGTATTTCAAATTCATCACTATCAGCATCGTAGCCACATATCACTATATAATGTCCTAGGAGCACATGAAAAGTAAGAACTTAGTATACATCATAGTGAGAAATTCTCAATTCTAAACAGTGCAACAAAAAGGTACCCTCCCTATACACTAAGCATATCGATAAGAGAAATGTGTTACAACTTGCAAGTTTTTCCTACTCACCTACATACTCCCGGTTACTATCGTCCAAGCTTGATAGGATAGCATCCTCTAGCCATGTGCGACTGCGCAGCATATATTTCAATACAGGAGAAGTTTAATGACTCGACTAGAAGGAGAAATTAACGACAAAAAGAGTCGTGAAACAAAGTGTATAAGCAAATGTACCTCAACTTGTATTGATTAACTAACGCAATGACGATATATTTCCCAGATAAGATTAAACAGGAAATTTCTTTTTCATTAATTGACCTGCACTGTAGAAAGCAAGGATTAAAGACTAAATCATGAAACCCTCATATAATCTGTACTCAATAATGTACCTTGAAATGGAATTCATATTAGAACCAACTTACATACACAGTTCTATCAAATTAATACTAGTTCTAAAACTGAAAAGAACATACCAGTATATTGATCCCTTCTTCGGAAGCTTTTTCAAATAACATATCTACTCTAAGTACATCGGTTGGCAGTTGTTCCTGCAGACATTCAACTAGACTTCCATTACACATAAGGACAAGTAGTAGCGCGAACCATTGCTTCATCGATCATCAAAAACGTTGAAAAGTATTTGTACACTATAGCAAACCTTATAGTATGTCTCAACAGAGTAGCTTGGATTTGCTCCAATCGTCACAGTGAAGTATGAAAATCTAACTGAAAACCTCTTTAGCAGATAAGCCAAATCAACTGTCCAAATACTGTAAAAAGGAAATCAAAGGCAAGGTTCAGGTGGAGAATGTAAGAGATAAGCCACCCAGTAACATCAATTCTAAACCTTATATCTGTATGATACAGAACCAGTAACATGGATAACATGGATCAACTTCCTGGAAAGTATTGACATGAAGCTATTCATCCTAACTCTAGCCACAGCTCTGATTAAGCAGTATCAGAAGGAGGGATTGAAATGTAAGTCAAACCTAGTCGTGCTGGAAATGTCTGCCAAAGCCTCGATGCTACAATCGCTGACACCAACGGTATTCAGAACCATTACAACACATGCAAGACCACAATCCCAAGACTGGAGCTGGTTTACATGTGGCACCTGTATTCAACCATGACAATTTGAGGATTGATCCCACATGTAAGATAGATTTCAGGCTTAAATTGTAATCTGAAACAGCTATGGCAAAATCTAAAAGCACTCACTTCAACGAAGTGTGACATGGATAAGTCTTGGTCATGCCATTTCCCGACTAAACCATCAATGACATCATCATCATCTTCTTCTTCTTCTTCTTCTTCTGCAGCTTCTACATTGAGTATCTTGCTGAACAGAACATACAACGGCCACATCGGTGACACAGATGAACCACAAACAAACCGCAAACACCAGTATCGTCCACAATCATCCACCGATCAGGATGGAACAAATCAGGCTTAGATTCCAAAAACAGTTGTCTACTTTCTGCTAGAGCGTCCAATTGCTCCAGCTCTTCACGAAAATCCCACCTAACAAGGATCCAATTCACCGATATTTCATCAGAAAACATCGAATTGCTTACCGACGTTACACAGCAAGCAAGTGAACTCGTTCATTCATGCTAGCCCAAGGTCAAACAAACAAACCGTGGACAAAATCAACACGAAATGGAATTGGCCCGGCGGAAACGATCAAGGCCTTAATTCATAAAGGCTTGCAGATTTGTGAACAACCAACAAAGTAAGGAACGAAACGGATGTGGTAATTGCAATCGCCCGGAATCGCGTTACCCCAGATAGGAGAAATGAATCAGAACTCGATCAAGGGGAAAGAAGAGCGATTGGTCCGAAGAAGAAACGAAGACCTTCGAAACAGATACACAGCTGATGATGGAAGATCAAACACAAGGATTTGAAAGAGATTTAACTTTTACCTTTTTTACGTTTTTTTTTTTTTTTTGGAACGGATGATCGAAGAAGGAGGATAATTGGAGGGAATTAAGAGAAGGATAGAAGAAGAAGAACTCAGGGGAGTTCCGGCCGCAGGGGACTACTCGTTTTGGCTTCCGTTTGAATTGACATTCTCTTTTACGTTTACCTTTAGAATTTCTTTCATTCCTTTATTATTATTATATATATATATATTTTTTTTTTGGATAGAGTTTTCTTTTGTTGGGGGTTTGGGCGGTGCGGTGAGCTGTTGGCAGCGCAATGGGCGCCTGGAAGCCGCTGTGATTGCCGGTTGTCGGTCGTCAATTCATTGCTTCCTCTTTGAAGAGGTTTGGGCCGTGAGTTCTGAGCCCAGTTAAAGATGGGCCCAAATTAGGGAAGGTGAAAGTGCAGAGCAAATAAACGGCCCATGAAGACTGCACTTTTTTATTTTTTTGAATTTTACAAGTACGACTCCCAATTTTATTTCAGTTCTTTTTACATTGGTATTTTGATCCATTGAAGTCAGAGGTATTACTGCTTAATGTCAAAGTGAATCTCATTTTGATGGGATAGAATCAAATCCCTAATGACATGTTAAAAGGACGAGACAATCGATCGCATGTTTCCGCCACGCGTCTCGTGGTTAACTATCAGGGAAACAGTATGGCGATAACGGATATAAGGCGTGATTAATCACTCTCTTTAGAGTGTTATTTGCCCCCACTACAAATTGCTGGTAGGCTCGAGCAAACCACTCCCAGGAGTCCCTTCAATTCTAAGTCTAGAAACAACAATCTTGCAGACTGTTGTGTTTATGAAATAGAGAAGGAAAAAACTGGAAGAAGAAGTAATCTCTCATCATTAAAAGAGTTATGACAGTCGTCTATTTATAGTTGTGAATTCTGGAACTTACCTTCCGAAAAGACACATCCTTTCACAGAAGAAAGTAGTTACCTTTCCCGAAAGGACACATCCTTTCACAGAAAAAAGAAGAAGTTACCTTTCCGAAAGGATACCTCTTTTCACAATATTCAAACGCTAATTAATTAATATAAAATTAATAAATTAAACTGCCAAAAGACTCAATTCTTATACTTTCATTCTCCCATCAATGTGGTATTACAACTCTATTGACTAACTCTAACAATCCCCCACTTAGTCATTAAGAGTTGAGAATACCTGCCTTGAACAAGTAACGCATACATAAAGGTATCTTTTCGATTTGAACCGTTACCTAGTGTAAGCAACTCAAAGTTGATAACGAATCAGTGACAGGCTTAAGCCTATGAGTCACGATCCAAAGCCATAACCGGAGATGCCACACACGTACTTGTCTCTTCTCTAAACCACAACCACCAACTAGGGTAGCACTATTATGGCCATGTGCTAATCCTGTTTCATGAGCATACACAAAAGTTGACCTCTACCTTTGTTAGAGCGGCACCACTCTTACTGCTCACATAGATGACATTCCAAATGAATTCATTAAGAGTTCTATAACTCACCCTTCTTTGGAGTAATTTACTTGTATAATAAATTAGTACCTCTGTTAGAGTAACTTGTTATTACCACATTGAACCTTTTAATTAGTGAATACCTAAGAAAAAGGTTGGGTTCCCATTACTTCTAACTATACAAAAGGTCTCAATCCCTTCCCTTGGGATCTCATAGATCATGCCTCTTGGCTATCCCTTGACAAGAGGATCTGCCAAATTATTGCTTGATCTTACATACATGATATTAGTAATCACATACTAAAGTAATAATGTCTTAGGCTAATATGTCTAGACTTACCATTGTAAATCTTGTCAAAGCTATAGACAAAGTAGCCTCACTATCACAGAAGACAGAAATGGCTTACATCAGTTGTGGCCACAACTCGATATCTAACATCTTTCTTAGCCATTCTGCCCCGTTTCCAGCCGCCTCAAGGGCTAGGAATTCATCTTCCATAGTAGAGTGTGTAACACACGTTTGTTTCTTCGAACCCCAAGAAACAACTCCATCGCCTAGTGTAAAAATCCACCCGTTGTAGATTTATTATCACTAACACTTATTATCCAACTAGCATAAAAAACATCTCCCCCACAATTCTACCACTTGCCGAACTATCATGAAATGATTCCATTTAATTTTCCAAGGCTTTACTTATTGAACTTTCACAACCACTACATTGGTCTAATTGTTTACCAATGGTATGGACTAATTGAATTAGCATACCACAAACAATTCAGATATTATTAGAAAATCATCTAATTACTTACCAATGGAATTGGTCAAGGTAACTTGAGATGCCACAAGTAATTCAGTTGCATTTTCAGATTGTATTGGAAATACCATCTAATTACTTACCAATGACAATCATCAAGGTAACTTAACATACCACAAGCAATATTCTGAATCAATGGTCTAATTACTTACCAATGGTATGCACTTTATAAATATACCATAAGTAATTCAGACTTTAAGTTCAATACGACCATCTCAATTGAGCTCTCATGCCAAATTGTTTTCCAATGGTATAGTGTACATATACCATAAACAATTCTGGCAATGATTAATTTGATGATCACCATCCTTTGGCAAGCTTATTCAATCCCCTATATGGATCCATCTTAGTTTCATTTACCTTGCCCTCACATCATATGAAACATGAAGTCATAAACCACATACATGATAAACAAATTATCATGTCAGGGAACGTATTGCTTCATTATTTCAATTTACTTTAAGATCTCAACTCAAGAAATTTTGTTACATAAACCAAATTGTTACATCTTGCAAGCATCAAATTGAAACTCATACAAATTTGGGTGACAAAATTTTTTTGGGCTAATACCATTGGGAAACCCGAACTATTAACTTTGTGCCATTTGTGTCCTAAAGTATTCGATACGACAATTGTGTCCCAAAGTTTGGTAGTTTTGTGTCATTTGTATCCTGACAGTTTCGTTGACCGTTAAAAGTAACGGTTGACCAGACAGACGGCCGTTAGGTCAGCTTCCGAAGCTTGCGTGGCACACTCCTGTTGGCCACATAGACGACACATAGGCAAACACGTCAAATTAGTAAAAAAAATTTACCATTCTGATTTAAAATAAAAAAATAATGATTTAAAATAAAAAAACCCTATTTTTTTAACCCTCTTCATCTTCTTTGTAGCTCCTCCGCTATTTTCAAACTTCTTCTTTGCGAGAGGGTCGTCGCGAGCAGAGGGCAGAGGAGAGACTGCGATATCTCCCTCGCGTCGGAGTGGCGACGACGTTGGGTTTCAGTAACGCGGAGGGGCGCCGGTTTGTGGTGACTGAAGGTATTCATTGCGGCGAGTATAGTGGTGCGACGGCGTGCTGCGGAAAAAGATTCTCGAGGAAACCAGGTGAGTATATATGTTGGGTTGTTTTAGGGTTTTATGTACTTGGAAGGAGATTCGTGGCAGCAATTGAATGGGTTTTGTGGCAGCAATTGAAACATGTCGGGAAGGAGATTTGGCCAAAGCACTTGTGACTCCAATTCTTCCAACTCTCGAATCGTGAAGTGTGGGCATAATATACCAGCAAAGTCTTATGTTTCAGGGACAGAACTCAATCCGGGGAGGGGATTCTACTGTTGCCCATATTGGAAGGTAATTTATGCATTATTTGTTTAGTTGGGGGATTTTATTCGCAAACAACAGCTCACTTCATCTTGATTTATTTGTAAGGAGCCTTCAAAAAATTGTCTATTCTGGCGTTGGGTGGATCAACGTAATGATGAAGAGGAAACACCTAGCTCCAATGTGATTGTGGCAGATGATGAAGACATTAGGATGAAGTATGCTTCGATGGAGATTCATGTTACGAGCTTGAAGGAGAGCTTGAAACTTGCTGAAGAGAAAGCTGAGCGAAGGAAGCATGCTAACAAATGTTTGTTTGATGATTTAGTTAGCATTAGGGAGGAAAACACTAGGCTGGTAGGGGGACTGAAGTTGGCCAATGCTCAATTCTTGTTTGTTTTGTTCCTTTTCGTTGGACTGCTTGTAGGCATTGCCATTGCATGACTGAAATGAAGTCTGGAAATGCACATCTATTCTGTAACTTATGGCTCGAGTTTATTTACGATGTTAGCAAACAATCATGTTTCTGTATGTTATTGAATCTGACATTGAGGAATTCCTTTGAATGACAGTAAGTAAACAACGATAGCGTCATTTTATAAACATACCATTCAAACATCCTGAAATTGTTCGACAGAAGATGATCAATATCATAGTCTGAACTATACACATTCATAATTGTGTTTGTCAGTTACAAAGGCTGCCATTGTCTAGTTTTCCAAAATTAATCCATTGTTTAGGAATCTTACATGATTTCCTCCGGATATAAGGCAACCATATTTGCGCAAAATAAACACGATATCCATAATCTACTACGTTAACCCTACATCCCCTAATACCACCCATTTACAACCACATAATCTACTGCTGCTGGCTCGGCTGTGTCGGTGGTGGCCGTGATCCTCCTTCAGCAATCACCGTAGGCGTTGACCCGGTACCAAGGTTGCCGTATGGCCTGCCACTTCTCAACACCCTTCCTGGTCTATCTGGACCATTTAGTATCACATATGTGTTTCCTAAATCAGTGTGCAACACACCAATTCCTTGGTTGGCCTGCAAATAATTGAAATGAGTTACTATACCGCTAACATTGTTAAGTTGTCGAGTACAATGAAACGAAGAACTTACCATCCTAACTTCTCTATCTTGAGCACGTCTACTAGTGACAGCACGATTGATGTGTGCTTCCTACCATGAACAAAGAAAAGAGCATTCAAGTACCACTTTATAAATTCATTTACGTGTTAACACTACAAAAAATTTGGCCTATTATGACAAAACAAATTTGTCATATTAGATACTCATTTCGTCATATTAGTTATAATATGACAAAAGGTGTTGTCACAAAGGTTTGTCATTTTATCGCCGTCAAGATAGGTCAAATGTGACAAAAATTTAAAACAAGGTTGTCAAATTTGCTTTTTGTATAACTGAGGTTCTGGGTAGTCTATTGTGACAAACAGAGATGTTATGACGACATATTTTGTCATTATAGTTGTCATAATCTGGTGATTTTGAGAGAATTGTTTGTCATATTACACGATTATATTTTGTCATAATTGTATATTGTGACGACTGCATTTTGTCATAAGTGTAGACAAGGATATTTATTTTCCATCGATTGTGCCCAACTCGCAAATCCAAATTCATAAAAAAGGACCTCACAAATCTAGCAAAGCTTCGTTATCACAATTTGTTCTTTATTCACAAACCCAGAAAATCATTCACAATCCTATAAAATTTTCACAAACCTAGAAAAGTTTCGCAAACCCAGAAAAGCTTTGCTAACCCAGCAATTGAAACCCTTCCAAACTAACCAAATCAAGAATTGCTCCTTCTCCTCCTCAAACCCAGAATTGGAACCCCCAGAAAGTAACAAACACAAGAAGAAAAAAAACGCAAGCATCCGAATCCTTCTCCCACCGTGGCCGCTAGTCTCGCACCGAACCTTTTACTCGTTGATCTCCAACCGGCCTTAGACTCGTGAATCTTTGTCTCGGGAACCTTCTCCTCCTACATCCGCAGCCTCACCCTCAGCCCCCACCTTGCGGAAACCCCTTCCTCTGCCGAAGCAAAACCTAAAAAAAAAAAAAGATTAAACAAGACTGGTCCAATCAATGCTATCACCGGGACTCTCCTCCATCGCGCGCTCTCGATCCGCACATCACCTCTTGAGCTCGGCGCCATCGTCGCATGTCAATCTCTCTGTCGGTCGCCTCTCGATCTATCCACCCCTTACCTCTTGATCTCTCTGCCATCGTCGCCGGATATCGGCAATCATTGCCCTCTCAATCTCTCTGCCAGCATCGCTGGTTATCGCAAGAGGAGGCAGCTAGCGGCGATATTTTTGAGAGAGGAAGGAAGAGATGAAAGCTTCGTCTTCTTTGAGTGTAAGGAGTAGGTGAAGGGTCGATTTTGGAGAGAACAAAGAAGGGGAGAAAAGAAGGGAAGTTTAAAAGGGGAAGAAAGAGTAAATGGGGTGAGATAAAAGGGGGATGAGGGGCGGACGTTTCAGTTAGAATTTAGGGTTAGGGGATTTTTTAATGGTGAGAAGGGAGAATTTTCAAATTTTTATGGGGAAAGTTTTGGCGGAAAAGGAAATTTTACAGTTAAAATTGGGCGGGACTGAAATTTTTATTGTGTGGTGATGTTTTTTTTTTGTTTTTTTATGCTGAACACAAGCAAATATGACGAAAATGCCTTTTGTCAAAAACGAAACCACTATATTATGACAAACATGTCTTTTGTCAAACCCGAAACCACTATATTATGACGAACACGTCCTTTTGACAGCTCCTCGTGGGATTATTTCTATCTATTGTGACAAAATACTTTGTCATTTAAACAATTTAGGAAGACATAATATGACAAAAGCTACTCTCACGATATAATTTGTCACTTTTCTGTATCTTACATCCGATATGGGATGCCTATTGTGACAAATTTAATTATGACACAAAATATTTGTCACATCACACACTTTAAATGACGAATTATTATGACAACAATTTTTTTTGTCACATTAGACATACCAAATAGGACATATATTATTTTTGTCATATCACAGTACCTATTGTGACAAATAAAAAATGACAAAATAAATTTTTTGTCCTAATAGGCCAAATCTGTTGTAGTGTAACTAACATTCCATTCTATCATGAAAGCCAATTTGCGATGGTCCTCTTACCTGAATTCCGCCAACTAGAGGGCATGTTCTGGCATTGTGGTCAGCTTTCTTACACTTTGAACATAACCCTGGTCTCCTCTTCACTGCCGAGGGTTGACCATCCTCATTTGCAGCAGCCCCTCCATCCCTCTCCTGCCTCCTTCGATCAGAACTTCCCCTTCCACCAGTAGCAGCCCCTCCATCCCTCTCCTGCCTCCTTTGATCAGACCTCCCCCTTCCACCAGTAGCAGCCCCTCCATCCCTCTCCTGCCTCCTTTGATCAGACCTTCCCCTTCCACCAGTAGCAGCCCTTGGACCTTCAACGTTCCTGCTTCCTCCTCCTTCCAAATTCTGCACATTATCCAAACACATTTTATACTTCAACAATGGTTACATTTTGCACAATTTCTCCAAACACATACAACATCAAACTTACCCGTTCAGCCCGAAGAACCGGACAAGTCCTCACATTATGGTCAGGAGCATTGCACTTCTTACAATGCATTACAGACCTAAACTTCCTCATAGCAGATCCATCACCACCATGTCGAACTGTCTCAATCTCCCCTGGTGTCTTCCTCCGTTGCTTCTTCGGACGTCCAGGTAAGACCTTGAATTTAGGAGGATAAATTGGGTAGCCTACTGATTCTGGCCAAGCTTGTTGGCCTTCAATAGTAGGAATACCAAATTCATATGCCATCTTGAACGACCCAACAGTGTAGTAAGGAGACACGACTTCACTTGGCTCCCTCCTCTGCCATTGAAGGCAAGCAATTGCATGTACACATGGAATACCAGTCAATCCCCACTCCCCACAGCTGCATGTATGTTCGGCCAAGTCCAACACATACCCTTTACGGTTAATGGCAACTTCAAACTTTTCCTCCAAGCCTGGAATCACTTGACACATCTTGGCTAAATCCACACCCTTTCTAATCTTCTTTTCTATCCTAGGACAGAGGCGATCCCTCCAACCACCAGCTTGCACATTCTTTTCAACTATTCGCACCATGAGCTTCCTACGAATACCCTCGAGCATGTCAATGATCCTATTCTCCCTCTCTTCTAAGATATAACCATTGAAGGTTTCGCAAATATTACTTTCCACCGAGTCACATCTGGAGGTGTGACTCATAAAAGCCCTGCAAAAGGTTTCTGGTTGATGATCCAGAAAATCCTGAAGTAAAGATGGATCTGCCCCACTTTGTTGAATCTCCCCCATTTGTTTGATGACTGCTTTGTAATCGTTGATGTTTGTTGCATACACAGCCTCCCAGTATAAGTCTCTATATGCCTTCACCCTATGGTTAACCTTCCAATTCGCGAAAACATGACGTGCACACTTTCTTAGCGATGCCTCGGGTAAGCAACTGTTCAATGCTTGCACAAGACCCTACAAACAAGAAGATAATGTAACCCAAATCTAATGCAAAGAAAACATTTTACACACGACAAACATTCTAAAAAAACACATAGAAAACACATCGAATATTTACCTTGTGTTGGTCAGATATGACTGTCCACCCACGACCATCAATGGTCCTAAGATCTTGCTGTAAAATAGAAACAAACCACTTCCATGTTTCAAGACTTTCCCCTTCAACTACAGCCCAAGCAATAGGGAACATCCTGTTGTCTCCATCCTTACCAACAGCACTCAAAAGCATCCCTTTAACCTCACCTTTAAGAAAGCACCCATCCAAAGCAAACATTGGTCGGCAGCCCCTAGTGAAACCCCTTCGCAGCCCACTAAACCCAATGTACAACCTCTTGAACAACACTCGGTTTGGGCACATTAGACGGGTCAACCTCTAGAATAAAAGTACCGTCTCTATCCCGCTCTTTCAATGCACCAACATACCTCCTCAACTTGTTATACTCCTCTATCAACGACCCTCCTAACATCCGCTTGGCATATATCCTCGCCATATAGCATTGCCTCCTCGAAATTATAACATTATGTGTTTCCCTCAGCTCCAACATCATATTCTTTACCTTCCAATTAGGCTCCCTTCGAAAACGTTCAATGTACTTCTTAGCCACCCAAGTTGCATTTGCAACCCGCATCCGGACAGCCCTAGGACAAGTGTGATCCTTCCCAAGATTCTTCACCATAAACAAAGAACGAGCATGCCAACTGCCGTAGATATACCACCCACACTTCTGGCGACATTCAGCACGCTTCTTATTCTTGTCACTTCTTGTCCACTTGATATCGGCTCCAATTGAGATTGAATGCTCCTCCACTGCTACTTTGAACTGCTCCGGGGAATTGAAACTCATTCCCACTGTGAACTTTAGAGTAGAATGTTCACATCTGGGGTCGTAGTAGGGACCGTCATAAATAGGATCAGCTGGCTCTTCGTCTAGATTCCCACGCACATGTCGTGAGTCAACTGAACCTCTATATTCTGATTCAGGTAGAGTTTGGTTTCCCACTTGTTCTGCCCTTTCATGTGCCATATCTTCAGCTTCAGGTTGAGTTTGGTTTCCCCCTTGTTCTGTCTGTGCATGTGGGATAGCTTCAGCTTCTTCATCTTCAGCTTCTTCATCTTCACCTCCCATAGCTTGTGAGGGAACATCCTGTTCGGTCTGCTCATAATCAGTTATAGATTCCTGCTCCACAGCTTCACCAGTTGCATCTTTGGTGGTACGAACCCTCATCCGTCGTGCTCTAATCCCTTGATTCTCCAAAGCATCGACGAACTTATCATCAGAAGTGCGCACATCATCATCCATAAGATGGATGATGTCTCGATTCTGTGACTCCTCATCACCTTCTGTATCACCGTCATCACTGTTCCCTCCACCAGCCTCTTCATTATCTCCAACTTGAGTTTCTATACCTTCCATAAAGATCAAAATTTTTCCATTTTTAACACCATGAATCAGTCCATCCATAACCTCGGTGTCGGACCTTATTTCAACCAAACCATTTCCCAAATTATGCGATGGAGCCATATACCACAAGCGCTCGACCCTAGCGTATTCAAAGTGGACAACACCAAGCTGTTGTAACTGGAAGAAGGAGATGTAGTCTAGGTCCATGTCAACTTCTTCAATCTTCCCATTTAGGTAGCGAGGAACCTCGTCAGAATAGTCCATTTTCCCACCATGGTGGACTATCAATTCCAAGTACGTAGTCATCCTGCACGTTACATAACATGGTTACTATTACAAATCCTCGATTATATTAATCTAATCACAATCTAGGGTCAATAATTTTCTACCATTAAAAGCATTCCCCAAAAGTTGCTAAAAGACAACTTTGCAATCTAGCAATCCACAAACCCGTGACCTTTATGAATTGAATATTACAACTCAAAGACAACCAAATCACTATACATGGATGGAAATGACCAGAAGGTGCTTTTGGAATTGAATTCGTACCTGTTGCTCAACTCGCAAAGGGGGTAATTTCGTCTTCACAGCTTCGTCGTGGTCCCTGCTTTCCCCTTCTACTTCCAGCGAATCTTACAGAACAAAGCCAGCAAACCCACTTCATACCCACCACATTTACTTTCTTGTACGATTACCACCTTCCTTCCGCTTCCCACCTACTTAATTGACCTTCAAATAGCTCCACAACTCCAGAAAACCGAACACGCCCCTTCGCTCCAAAACCCTAGAAATTATGGGCGAAACACAATTCCATACAGCCCGATACCTCTGCTAGTAGAGGCATCATCTACTCCTCCCAAGACGATGATACAAGCACTCGCGCAAGGTCGGCGACGATGATTGAAGAAGAAATCGAGGATGGGTGTCGAATCTGCCGTCCGAAAAGGTTCCTCCCGGCCAGCCGCGCCCGAAGGTTTCGAAGCTGCCGTCGAGGATGTTCGTCCCTGCGCCGCGCCCGATGTTCGAGATGTTGACAAACTGCGGAGCTGGGGAATCGACTCCCCTCTGTTCGTCGGGGAAGAGAATAGGAGAATCGGGAGAAAGGTTAGGGTTCTTGAGTTTATTTGGGGGAAGTCGAGGGAGGGAGGGAAGGGGTAAATGTGATTCGGGTATGGGTGAAACCCCGATTTCATTTAACTTTTTTTTTTAATTTGACGTGTAAAACGGGCCTGGGTTTGCAAATAAAAAAAGCCACCTAGACGGACACATCAGCGATGACCTGTCAATTAATTCAAAATTAACGGTCAACGGTAGTCAAACATAACGGAAAAATACTTTGGGACACAATTGTCGTATGGAATACTTTAGGACACAAATGGCACAAGTTAATACTTCGGGTTTCCTATTGGTATTAGCGCAATTTGTTTCAAGAATTCCACGTGAATTCTTCCAAATTCAAATAAGTTGAATTTCATCAAACTCTCATAATATTAATTATGAGTTTGATCTCATCTCAAATACGAAAAAAGTATTTGATATCACTTAACCAAATCGAATGGTTTTCATAACTACCAAAATGATTCTCAATCAATCTTCATCTGTGCCAAACCCGAACATTTCAATCTTTTCAATGACTATCGAATGGTTACTTGCAGCCAGACTCTGCCATTCTTTCTTTCCGGTGGCAGAAACAGAAGAAACTTATATAGAGTATAGACTATATATTACAAACAAGGTGCCTTCTACGGTACTCCTGGTGAAATCCGGGGTACCGCATACCTTGAGTACGAAAACACTATCTAAACCTCGAATTAGCAGGATTTTTGGGCATGATACTATACCCTAACCCTTAATGAGTGAACGCTAGGTCCTAATTATCTAAATCATAAACTATAAACCCTAAGATGATGCATTATTTTTTTTTGCCTATATTTGGACGAATCATAACCGTCGATTATTGTTTCTAATTAAATTGATATCGAGGTATAAGATTTAGAGAATTAAGACCTAGATTTTGATCTTTAAGGGTAAGAGTATAGTATCATGTCCGAAACATCAGTCAATTCAAGTTCTGGATAGCGTTTTCTTACTCAAGGTATGCGGTACCCCAGATTTCACTCTGTGTACAGTAGAACTCCCCTATAAACAAATATATATACAACATATATATATATACGAACCAAACTTTCCTTTTCATTATCAGGGGGAAACATGTAGAATAGATATGCCAAGTAGGGGTGGGCATTAGGTTCAGTTTTACCGAACCAAACCAAACCTAATAAAAATCGTATGAAACCGAAATACTTGTAATTAGGTTCGAAATTCGGATGTAAATAGGGGAATTTCGGAAATCAGGTTCGTTTGAACCGAACTAAAATTCCAAAAAACCGACCGAAATTCCGAAAATATAAACCCACTGCCTGAATCCCAGCCCAATACTCACGACCCAGCCTACTTTTTTCAGTCCAACAAATTGGATTGGGCTTCCCATCATGGCCTGGGAGGTTGGGCCAGCTCCCTGCTTGATGTCGTCTGCTGCGTCTGGTGGGCTGGTGGCCTCTTCAGACTTCAGCAACTCGACCCACAGTCGTCTGCGACCTAACCCTAACGCCTGCCGCCTAGCGGCCTATCCAATTGACGAAATCGCGGCAAAGGGAAAGGGAAGGGGAACTGGGGAAGGAAAGGAAGAATCGCGGCAAAGGGAAAGGGAAGGGGAATTGTCCGACTCACTTGCACCGAATGCCGATTGGATTTCCTCCTCCACTGCCCGAGCACTGCGACGTCGACGACCCGACCTGAGAGAGGCTACTTCGTCTTCCTCTCGACTCGAACCTCATCCTCGCTGCTCGCCACCAGGCACCGGTCTCTGGCTCTCCACTTCCCGCAATCCCACCTAGTGACCCAGACCCAGGCAAGCACCCGCCGGCCGCCGAGTCTCCTCCGGCCGCCACTGAATCTTCCGCCGATGTACAAGTTCCCGTTTTAATTCATTGTATTTGATAGACATGTGAAATAGCAGGTGGAAAAGTATAAAAAAATTGCAACAGTGATCAGCCAGCCCCATGCCAAATTTCCAGTTCCAGCGAAACTGACAAGAAGACAGCAGGTAAAAATGGGCAGCAGCTGAACATTTCGCAACTGGGCATTAAAACCGAACCAAACCGAGCTATAATTCGGTTCGCATGTGGGTTGCCTGAAATTCATTTTGATTGTTATAAGTGATCATTATGCTTGCCATGGTTAAGTGAAATCCATTTGATAGTTACGTTCCATGAACTTGGCATTAGGGGTGCTGGTCACTTAGGAAATTCGGCATGTCCTGGTTCGGTTTGGTTTGCTGGTCACTTAGGAAACACTTAGGAAATTCGGCATGTCCTGGTTCGGTTCGGTTCAAACCGAACCAACCGAACGCCCACCCCTAATGCCAAGTTCATGGAACGTAACTATCAAATGGATTTCACTTAACCATGGCAAGCATAATGATCACTTATAACAATCAAAATGAATTTTAGGCAACCCACATGCATTTTCCAATGGCGTCAGTCTCGTACAAATAGGAAAACATACATATACATGTGTATATATTCATATTCTTGAACGAACAGATACATAACCCAAGTCCCTTCCAATGACGGTTAATCAGTCAACAAATTGATCACTAACCAGATTGGTAAACCAACTTATCCGGGGACAGAAATTTTCAATTTCATTGATATTCAAGGTACCAGAAATTCCTTTCTTAGACAGTAAGAATCAATATATCCATAAATTCATCAAACAACAAACTGATGAACAATCAGGTTCACGACATAATTTTCTTACGCAAGCCAACCAGATTTCTCACATGATAGACATGACGTACCTTTTCGACGTGGCGGTACCTCAAATGTCGGATACCAACGAACACAACAAGACATCGAGAACCACACTTTTTTGAATAAGAAGCATACGCCTTCAACGTACTCTCCACTCCAAAATCCATTTTTCCAATAGCAAAATAACACTCTAAGATTGTCAGGGAAATAGTATGGAGATAACGGATTGAAGACGTGATTAATCACTCTCCTTAGAGTGTTATTTGCCCCCACTACAAATTACTGGTAGGCTCGAGCAAACCACCCCCAGGAGTCCCTTCAATTCTAAGTCTGGAAGCAGCAATCTTGCAGATTGTTGTGTTTATGAAATAGAGAAGGAAAAAACTGGAAGAAGAAGTAATCTCTCATCATTAAAAGAGTTATGGCATTCGTCTATTTATAGTTGTGAAAACTGGAAGTTACCTTCCGAAGAGACACATCCTTTCACAGAAGAAGGTAGTTACCTTCCCGAAAGGACACATCCTTTCACAGGATAAAGGGTTAATACCTTATTATGGCCTGAACTATGACCATGTAATCAACTTTGAAGAATTTGATGATGCGGGATAACAAGAACACGAGACAAAGATTTTACGTGGTATCCTCGATCGATTGATTGATCGAGACTAATCCACGGTGAGCTCATAAGAGCTCACGACTGATCTCTTATTAGGATTACATCTTGACGGCTTGCTTACGACAATCTCGTAGCTAAGCTTATATAGAGAAAGACTTAGGTTTAAAACCCTAATCCAACAAATAAGACGAGGCCCAACAAGGCCCAATACTAACACGGTTTAAGTAACCGCAACACTCCCCCTCAAGCGAAGACATGAATGACAAGAATGTCGAGCTTGAAGAAGTAAATGTGAAGAACAAGCATGATGGCTTGAACCATAAAACTGGAGATGAATAACATCTCGGACGAGGTTGATTGGAGTTGACTGACTCTCTCTGAACAACCTGATGATGGAGACGATTGACTGCGTCTCTTGAACTTGAACACACTTGGTACATCGCAGTCGACCTGATGACTGAGTTAGTCGCCCGACGTATGTTGACCTCCTATTCTCCCCCCTCAAGCTGGAACATGAACAACGTGAATGCCCAGCTTGAAAAGCGATGAATGGTTGATATGTGCCCACTAATGAACCGAAAGAGGGGACGATCATTTCTTGGATCGTGAATACCAGCTGGACGATGAAGGGACGATTACTTCTTTGATCGTACTACCTTTTGAACCCCAGGGGACGACCATTATGGATCGTGAATGCCTCAATCGATACTGGAAAAGCCAAACAACTCAAACAAAGAGGTCCAGCTGCCGACGAGGAACCTTTGAGATTGCTGGTTTTGCATCTTTGACGCCTCTTTTTGGTGATCCATGGCTAAACATGGAATCCCATGCTGTTGGCAAATAATTACCAATATGAACTTGACTCGGCAGAATTGCAACATGGTTGCTGCTTCCTTTGGATGGTGATATTGAAAACTGCTACGTGGCTTTAACAAAGACAACCTGTCCCCAATGAGGACATGACATGGCCTTAACAAATACAACTCCTTTAGAGAAGAGGGACATGATTTCAAATGGCCCATCCAACCACCATGGATAAACAGGAGCTTGATGGCAAGGATTGAATCAAGCGGAATCCTGACAAAACTAGCCAAGCAATTAAGTTGCTAGCTTCTGACACTCTGGATGGTCCTCAAATGAACCCATCCAACCATCGGGAGCAAAAGGAATGGTGGCGAGATGCCATCAGGCAAATTCTTGACGAAGACCTCGAAGGAAAACGACTCGTCCGTAACCCTGACAAGACTTCTCTACGGTACAAGGCGAGGTGCTTGCTTCGATTGAACACAGTTGTTGATGCAAGTGGACGAGTACCTTGACCAGGCAGAATGATGGCGCCCATTACAATAATTGGAAGAGCCTTTTGTCCCCAATGATGTAACGTACGGAAGCGGACAAAAACTTGAATACTCTAGCCAAGCTTCGGAAGCGAGAAGTTGATAAAGAGATCGCTGGCACCTTGACAAAGCAACCACTCATTAACCAGAGAACTTTTACCTTCTAAGACTACGACCACGCCACTGGGAGGCTATGTTGTATAGCGGCGGTTGTGCTCGCTTTACTGGCCGACGATTCAAGAGCTGTCAACGACGGTAGGAAAGCTTAGGGCGGCGAGGAGTCTAGATTGGCCGGCGAACTGGTGAGGGCATGGTGCGGGACTGCAATAAGCAACGAAACCCAAGACAAAACCAGTGTTACAGTGGCGATTGGTGACGGGGACGAAGCGGACTGACCGAACAGGAGCTGGCGACCGGCGATCATGGGACGAATCTCTCTCCCGATTCTGACGATGATCGCGATTGTGACAAAACCAGTATAAGTACTGGCTTGCAACGACGGATGATGCCCTCATCGCTAATGGGTGGGGGTGGCAGGAGGTGACGAGGAGGCCACGGATGACTGAGCCAACGAACTGCCGTGATCGGACGGAGATAGGGTCGCGCTCCGCTCAGAGCCGAAATTGAGAGCGCACGCTGAATTGAACCTTGGAGGCGGGACAACTCCGATGTGACTTCGAAAAGGAGCGCGAGCAATGAGACATCAACGACAACAAATTGGGACTCACTACTGGGATGAAGAGTACGTTGGAAACATGGAGAACCAGCGAATCACGATGGCGAACAGGCGCAGAACAAGGATGCGGAAGAGCTAAAGAAAAACCCTAATAGATCGAGGTTTGCTATGATACCATGAAGAATTTGATGATGCGGAATAACAAGAACACGAGACAACGATTTTACGTGGTATCCTCGATCGATTGATTGATCGAGACTAATCCACGGTGAGCTCATAAGAGCTCACGACTGATCTCTTATTAGGATTACGTCTTGACGGCTTGCTTACGATAATCTCGTAGCTAAGCTTATATAGAGAAAGACTTAGGTTTAAAACCCTAATCCAACAAATAAGACGAGGCCCAACAAGGCCCAATACTAACACAGTTTAAGTAACCGCAACAAACTTTGACCCGTGGTTTGAGAAATTAACATCCTGACCCGAACTATGCAGCATATAGATAGAATTGGCCTGGAGCGTGGTTTGACCATTTGTTTGGACGGTCAACACCGTTAACCGTTAGTCAACTGTCCAGGTCACTGCCATGTCACAAAAAAATATAATTTCATTTTTCTTTTTATTTCCTTTACAAAATTGAATAATAAAGAAAAAAAAACATTTTGGCCACCCATCCCCACCTTATCTCCTCACCTTCTTTCCTTTTCCATCAAACCCAAACAAACCCTATCTTCCATCTTCTTCCTCGATAACCCGCCGCCTCCATTCTCTCCGACTTCAAATGCAGCGGCGGCTGGTCTTTTAAAGGCGCTTTCATCAGAACCTAAACACGGGCACCCATCCCCACCTTATCCCCTCGCATTCTTTCCTTTTCGATCAGAACCCAAAAACCCCTAACCATTATTCTTCTTCCTCCTTCTTCCCCGACAACCTGCCGCCTCCATTCTCTCCGTTTCAAATGCAGCGGAGGCCGGTCGTTTTAAGACGACGCCGTCGTCGCACGCTTTGAAGATCTAATCCCTACCCAGAACCCTCACCCGTTCCTCGCGCGCCATCCATCCACTGTTCTCTCGTCGACAACAAAATTCTCCACCATCGATTTCTGTCTAGACCAAGACTAAGCCTTCCCCAGCCTTCCCCACCCATTGCGCTCTGTCCATTTCTTTGTAGGCCAACCCTTCCCCACCCATCGCTATTTTTTGTAAAAGGCGAAGAAAGTGAGGTTCCAGGGACAACTGTAGCAAGGGACCACTTCGACAAAATCTTGTTGTTATTCAGCTAAGGTAAGCAATCACTATCCCTCGTAATAATATTCTGAATACATCCAAGAAATCGGTTTTGGTCATATGTGGATTGATGCATAGTGGACATTAAACAATAATAGTTGATTTGTCTTTGTCGGCTTAGTGAATTTAGCGATTTGTCTTTGTCGGCTTAGTGAAGTTTGCTTTGAAAAGTGTGTTTTCGATTTGTTTATGTGCACAATGGAAGACCCAATTGAGCTCATTTTATGCCATGGAGGATATATGGATATGACAGGGGCTGTTCCAAAGTACGTTGGAGGTGATGAAGCTGTGGTGAACATGGTTGTCGATGTATTGTCCTATTTCGACTTAACAAAGACTCTAATTGAAGATTTAGAGTATGTCTCCATGGAAAGGCTTTGGTACTTGACTCCGGGTAAAAGTATGGCCACTGGATTGCACGAAATTCATTCAGACGCGGAGGTTATGAATGGATTACTCCCATGTGTAGGTAAAGGACAGGTGAGGGTCTACTTTGAAGCAACTAAAGACTTTGGTGATGATGGATTTATGGGTGACAACTACGGCCATGAGCATGATGGTTCTGATGAGGATGGCGAAAACTCGGCTGTACCTGAATTTGTGCGAGTAGAGGAAGAGGATGATGCCCAAACATCTGATGAAGAGTATCATGAAATCAGGCAGAAGGTTCGAAACAGGAGGCAGAATTATAGAGCTCAGATTCAGGAGTCGGGTGAGGAGGTGGATCAAGTGGTATTGGAGGAGGATGAGGAGCAGAATGTCGGTAGTGAGAATCTGGGGCAGAATGTGTGTAGTGAGAATCCGGGGCATAATGTGAGTGGAAGTGGGGGATGCAATCAACCATCTGAAGATGGTGAAGATGATGCAAATAGTAGGGGATCAATGGAAACTGAGTATAGGGGATCAGAGGAGTCTGCTCATGTTAGAGGCAACATTGGTGAACAAGATAATGTCACCAAGTTCGACAAAACCTTGCTTTATGATCCAAAGTGCGATCATAAAGCATTTAAGTTCGTCACTTGTATGCGCTTTAAATCCCCTTAGCAGTTTAAGGCAGCTGTAATGAGGCAATCAATTGAGATTGGTGCTGATATCATATGGGTAAGGAGCAGTGACTTTAGGAAGGAGGCTGTGTGTGCGCAAAGGAAAGAATATCGTTGTGGGTGGAGGGTATATGCAAGTTGGTTTCGCAAGCACGAAGCATTTATGGTTAAAGGAGTTGCTGTCGAGAACAAGGCCTTCGTGGTTGACTTGAAGAACCAGACTTGTACGTGCGGTTGGTGGGCACTAAATGGTATTCCTTGTAGTCATGCTTTTGCATCCATCAGAAGCATGCGAGGACATCCGGATCTTTATATTGATGGTTTCTTCAAGATGGAGTTTGTCAAAATGGCATACAAGTTTCCCATTCCAGCATCGGAAGGCCGACAAGCATGGATGTCCGTGTTTGGGAACAAGGTATACCCTCCTCGGATTAGGCGCATGCCTGGTCGTCCAAAGACTAAACGTCGAAGGGAGGCTTGGGAGATCCGAAGCAAGCAAGCTAAAAATGGAATTGGGGAGGTTGCTAGTAGGGAGAACCTCTCGGTTTATTGTGGGAATTGTGTTGGAGAAGGCCACAATTCGAGGACATGTAAGAGTGAGCCTGCTGCCCCGAAGACTGCAGCTCCTAAGAAGAAGAAGCAAGCACGCCCGACTCCTATGGCACCTGTTCCTCAATCAAATCAAGACGCTGGAAGGGAGAATCAGGTAACTCAAAGAGGATCCTTTTAAGACTTATTACTTATTTGTTATGAATGTTTATTAATGTAACATTTTACAGCAACCACGAGAAAAGAAGAAGGCTCGTTGCAGCAAGTGTAGATCAGAGCACCATAATGCAAGACGTTGTCCACTACTTGTAGGGATTCAGGTAACCATCTTTTAACTATGAATAAATGAATGAATGAATGAATGATAGAATGAAATCACTGAATGTGTATGAACGTGTAGGCCCCCCATGTTGGTTCGTGTAGTAAAAGGGTAACTGATCGTGAAATGAGAAGGGCGATGCAAGGTATTGGAACCTACATTGATATGGACACTGGAAACATGTATGCAAGGGTATGTAACAGAGTTTTGCAGCTTAATGACAGAGTAGTGTTTGTTGTGAACTCTATTCCTAATATGAAGATCCTACTATTTTGCAGCTTAGTCACAAAGTGCCACCACCTGGTGGTGTACGAGCAACATAACCGGACCTGCCTCAATACCACACAGCCTCCCACTACTCAACCAGACTCGCCTTAGGAAGTCAGAAGATGCTATGTTAGGAAGTAGATAAGACTCCTGTTTTGTGAGTGCTATGTGCATGTTACGGATCATTGTGATTCGTTGGAGTGTAGGAAGAAATATGTAAAGTAGGTCCAAAGTTAGGATTCCCCCTTTTGTACATGGTTTGGAAATGAACCTTGTCCTAAACTAAGGCACACCTTGTCCTAAACTAAGGTAGTGCCCCTTTTGTAAATGTTCCGGACATGTTCGAATGATCAAACAGATTATGTTTATGAATGAATGAAGTTGTATATGTTTGTCCCAGTTATGCTACAATGAAAGCTTCAATGAAAGAACATGATAATAGGAAGGAAATAAGGTATCATAATGGAGCAGTTCTTTGATTTCATAGGAAATTACACAAATTAGACAACAAGCTTACAATTGGACAATCACCAAAACAAAAAGAAACATAACTACACCGATTATACAGGCGGTTAGCCGATTTTGTAGCGCACAAATCGCATTTCGCATACTTTGCATTTCACCAAAACTAGCTGAATTGATCTTGGTCACCTTCGTCAAGTCTTCAAGCATTGCCAACTTCTCATGTTTCCTTTTCTTTGCCTTCTCTTCTGCCCTACGAAGTTGTCCTTCAAATGCCTCCAATGTCGACTTTAGCTGCTCATTCTCTTCCATAAGTCCACCAAGCATAAAGTCACTCTCTGTGACTGCATCAACCCAGCGAAAAAACGGCAGTTCTTCTCTTCATCCTTCCAATACGAGCAAGAATAAAACAATCTTCCAGGATTGTCGTCTGTTCGAGAAGTGTTGACAACGCAGGGGGCTCGGTGGAAGTTGCATCTTATGGGCTTCGTGCTTGACGAACCAGAAGAGGATGAAGCTTTGGTGGCAATTTTCCTAACTCGCCTGGACATTATTGCACAGAGGGGTCTGAAGAGAGCTCGAGATGGGTCAGGTAGAAAGGAAGAAGAGATTGCGAAAGGGGTCTCGAGCCGTTTTTGGATAGAAAGGAAGAAGGGAGCTCGATTTCGTTTGGGATATGGAGGCGGTGGGTCGTCGGGGAAGAAGGGAGCTGTTTCGAATATGGAGGCGGCGGGTCGTTGAGGAAGAAGGGATTTGTTTTCGTTTGGGATATGGAGGCGGCGGCTCGTCGGGGAAGAAGGAGGAAGAAGAATAATGGAAGATAGGGTTTGTTTGGGTTTGATCGAAAAGGAAAGAAGGTGAGGGGATAAGGTGGGGATGGGTGGCCAAAATGTATTGTTTTTTTTCTTTATTATTCAATTTTGTAAAGGAAATAAAAATAAAAATGAAATTATAATTTTTTTTTGTGACATGGCAGTGACCTAGACAGTTGACTAATGGTCAACACCGTTGACCGTCCAAACAAATGGTCAAACCACGCTCCAGGCCAATTCTGTCTATATGCTGCATAGTTCGGGCCAGGATGTTAACTCAAACCACGGGCCAAAGTTGATTACATGGTCATAGTTCAGGCCATAATAAGGTATTAACCCAAAAAAAAAAGAAGTTACCTTTCCGAAAGGATACCTCTTTTCACAATATTCAAATGCTAAGTAATTAAGCTGCCAAAAGACTCAATTCGTATACTTTCTTTCTCCCATCAATGTGGTATTACAACTCTATTGACTAACTCTAACATTAACACCATGGTACGATTCAAATCTCATTATTCTACGAAAGTTTGGTAAGAGTTTGGGCTTTAAGTCAAGTACTAGATAGGGAAAATGATACGTGCATGCCGGGAGAAGTTACGGTGCTAACCCACCGTCCTAACCTTAATCTACACCGTCCACTTCTAATTCTAATCTAATGGCTATGAAAACACTAAGGGTATATTAGGGATAACCTGCATTAATTATTAATTTTTGTTTTTAATTAAATATGTTAGTGGGCGGATTTTTAGGGATTACCGTATCAGACGGTTTCTATTTATCAATTTCGATAGTTTTATTTCCAAATTTGTGTGATTTTTAGATCGTGAATGGAGAGTGGTTGTATGCAAGTCCAGCAAAAGGCTACTACTAGTGGAAAAGTTATGCAACAGTTGATACAAAATTACTATTAACATTGCTTTCCTAAACTGAAAATCACTACTCACCTCCGCCATTACGTCATACAAAATAACCACAGACATTATTTTTCCAGAACTGAAAATTACTACTAAACATACATAACTAGTAACAGAACTATCACTACACATAACTAAAATCACTACTAAACTTCATTGCTAAAATTAAAACACTACTTTATAGAACTAAAAAGGGTTAATATTTTCGTATGGCCTGAACTTTGACCAAAATAAACATCCTGGCCAATCTTTTCGATCTATAACATCCTGACCCAAACTATACACCAAAATAAACAATTTGGCCAGATCCGACTTTTGACCGTTAACTTGGACGGTCAAACGCGTTGACCCTTAGTCAACGCGCCATGTCACTGCCAAGTCAGCATAAAATATTTAAAATAATTCACAATTTGCACACATTCCCTAATTTTAAATTATTATAAATTAAAAAAATCATCTAATACCTTAGTTAAACCAAAAATTTAAAACAAAAAAATTAAATATTTATCAGATCTTCTGACTTGGCAGTGACGTGGCGCATTGACCGTTAGTTAACGCGTTTGACCGTCCAAGTTAACGGTCAAACATCGGGTTTGGCCAGATTATTTTGGTGTATAGTTCGGGCCATGATGTTATAGATCGAAAAGATTGGCCAGGATGTTTATTTTGGTCAAAGTTCAGGCCATACGAAAATATTAACCCAACTAAAAATCACTACGAAAAATGAAATCAGTACTAAACTTCACTGCTAAAATTAAAACACTACTAAACATAATTGAAAACCACTACTACAATTAAAACACCACTATAAATCCGTACACAATCACAAATCTCTATTAACCTTGCAAATCACTACAAATCAAGATTTAAAGTACACTACACACTGTCGACTGTCGTAAAAGACGGAACTCCGTGCAACACCGATTAAACAAACAAAAAAGAGTGTATCTAAAATCATATACCTACCCGAAAGTAACAGTCTTCAGCAAACAAGAAAATCATATATGCAAAATCCAAAAAACAAAACACTACTAATCTTAAGAATCGCTAACAATTCAAATTCTCAAAAAAAAAAAAAACATTACTAGCAAGGAAAACACTACTAATATAAAGAAACCTTACTACTGCCTTTGCAAACTACTAGCCTTGAAAATCACTACTAATCTAGATCTGAACAAACAGGGGGCAATAAGGAGATCAGATCTGGAATTCTAAACCCACTTGAAGGCCTCCATAACAAAACTTCAACCCACCCGGAGGCGAGGCCGATGCAGATGACGACGACAAAGGCGAGGGCGACGGAGGCGAAGACAGCGGCGATGCAGATGACGGCGACGCAGTCGAGCGATGAGCACGGCGACGACAGCGGGGAGGGCGAAGCAATGGCGAGAGATGCAAGGACGGCAACAGTGAGAGGTGCAAGGACGACAATTTTTTCTGGCGATTCACTCTTCTAGTGAAAGAGAAAAGAGAGACGGAGAGGAAAGGGAGAAGAAAAAAATGGATAGGCAGATCGGTTGGGAGTGATATGGAGAGAGACACTAAAGATATAAAGAAAGAAATTATTGTTTTATTGTGAATTTTAAAATTTAATTAATTTAGTTTTAAAAATTCCAAAACTACCCTTCTTTAATATCTACCGTGGACTGTGAATTAAAAAGATGAATGAGTGATTAATGGGATTAGTATGGTGCTAACCTTTAGTGAGTTAGCAAGCCATCCCATCCCGTGCATGCCCATAAATTGAGTGGATTGGTTTGAAGTAGGGATGGCAACAAAACCCGAACCCACGGGTACCCACCCGACCCAACCCGGTCAATGCGGGTAAAATCCGTGTTGACTGGTTTTGGGCCGGGTTCGGGTTTAAACCTGCTACACTATTCACTGGGTTGGGTTTGGGTTTAGGTAAACCCGCCCCATGGGTACCCGCCCACACATATAATTACTTTCCCGGTATATTTAATATTCTAAATAATATATCTTCTTTAAACAACTAATATTATTTATGTTTGTGGAGACATGTATAATTTGTTCTTTATAATTATTTAGAATGAAGTTGATATTATAGAGTGGAGAGTGAAGAAACTTATTTGATGAGGAAAACGATTTCAATTAATCTTGTTGTTTATAGATGTTTATCTTTAATTTTGAACAATTTGTATTGATCATTTGCGGTTTGCTTGTATGTTCTAGATTGGTATTTTTTGTATGAATAATTTGTATGAGAAAATTGATGTTAAAACTTTTATTTTGAAAGAAATTTGTTATTGTAAATTTTTTCCACAAAAACCCACGGATACCCATGAACCCGCGGATACCCAGCGGGTTGGGTTTGAGTTTTTCAAACCCAACGGGTTTTACCCCGAGTTTTTTTGGCGGATAAACCCATGGGTTTGGATTTGACAAAACCCGCCTCAACCCGACCCATTGCCATCCCTAGTTTGAAGTGGTCCAATCTTTGATTTTGCAAGCATTGGTCTTAATGTGAAAATGGATAGGAGGATGTGAAATGTAAAATGGCAAAGCTTGAGAGATGAGCAGAACTCAGGATAGCGCTGAAAAAGAACACGCCTTTGAATTTTAAAATTTATATCGGAGTGATGCTTATTTGTAAAGACTAAAAAGTAATGACAATCTGAACTCGCTTTGTCGGGTATTATTCAACTTCACCCGATTCTTGTTAAGTGACATGACTCATATTCATAAAGAACAAGGTAATCTTGGTTTGGACACGAGAGAAGTCAAAGGAGCAAGTTTTTTTTTCTTTTTTTTTATAGCTTTTGCCTTTCTTTCCTTCCGAATGTTATAGCCGTTGCAGTTAACCAGCATTTGGGGTTCATTAGATACTAATCATTATCTTTTAATTACTGGGTAACTGGGTTAGTACACAGTGCGAACAAAACTGAAAAAGAGGTCAGAGTTGAAAAGTAAAAGCAGTGTAATAACAAATGGGTAAAGCCGGCAAACAACCGCCGGGTGAAATCAAACAAAACTATCCGTTCCGTTTGGGAAAAGTTGCTCTTCAGATTATAAAAATGATGAGCAAGCCGGCCATAGCTATCTGGGTGTGGGTGGGATAACGGGGACGGCTGTTTAGTATTAGGTCTTGTTATCAGGCAAAACTGCAAAAGCAAATGATTGGGAATGTTATTAATAACTTTTTTTTTAAAAAGGGACGTAATTTTTTTTTTTTTTACAATAAGGAACGGTATATTTCATTCGATGAAGCATAAACCAAATGTCATTAGAAAAGCGGATCAATAATATTACAAATTAACACCCATTCCGCATATAATGAACACAACCTAGCTTGACAAGCCACCAAATCTGCAAATTTGCTCAACCATCGAAGGATGAACTTCATACGAATCCAAGGAGATGACAGCAAGATGGATGACATCTAAGCCAGGGAGCTAGGCTCGACAGAGCCAAGGCCAAGAGGAAGGATTTTGTTGCAGGGCAAGTGACAACACCTAACAATCCGTGGGAATGCAGGTAGGTGTCGGTTCTTGCGCAGCGAGCAATGTGGCATTAAGAAGATCGAAGACTTCTGTTTGAATCGAACGAGAACACAGGAAATTCTCAACCTTGCCATCATACACTTGACCATGAGAGTTAGCAACAATAATCCCATAAAAGTCGTCGGGAGGGAGTCTGAAACGAAGAAGCCGTCACAGAACATCACCCGAGACCTGACACCTACCTGCATTGCTAATTAAGTCAGGGACCTAACCATATGACATGATTTTGGTATTCAAATTCAGATATCACTGATCGAAGTTGACTTGTCAATTTTTGTGTGTTTGAGAGATGATAATAATATTAGAAGTAAATTTTGATTAGTATGCTAGACTATTTTATTTAGAAGGAAGTGCGAAAATATTTTGACACAACGCAACACTTTTTTCCAATGCTCAACAGGGTTAAGTTGAATGACTAATTAATCACGCACTGTAAAGTAGACGAGCAATAACTGTTAGTAAACGGTATATGATCCACGATTGAACCTCTCTCAACAACTCGAGTTATTGGGATCAACTGGTTCTTGACATGGTATCAGAGCCTTCTGTGACCGAGAGGTCTTCTGTTCGAATCCAGATGACCCCCATCTGTTTCTGTTTCTGTTAAGCACATGGTGTCCGGACCTGTGCCTGTGCAAACTCCAAGCCTATATGAGTGACTTGAGTTTGAGGGGGTGTGTTAGTAAACGGTATATGATCCACGATTGAACCTCTCCCAACAACTCGAATTATTGGGATCAACTGGTTCTTGACACCACTATAATATGCTCACCTTTTTCAAAATGTAAAAATTAAAATGACAACTGAGTAGATTGTCTCAGTACCAACAAAATGTGGAATTAAACAAAAAAGATCATTAGATTGAACACTGTGATTTTGATAATAAGTATATCCCATGTTTCTCCTAATTTGTCCATTTCAAATAAAATAATTGGACAAATTCTTAGCTTGTGTCTTTTCGTGGGCAGTAGCATAGCATGCAACTTTTTCCCCCCTGAATTCAAATGCAATGAAGCTTTTTTTGATTTTTTCTCACGTAGTCATCAAATATTCGATAGTTTAAAGATCAGCAGCCACTTCTTTTTGGACTTGTACACATATCCAATCATTTCATTTTGAATAGTAGGAGCAAACGTTGGTTTCAATTTTGGTTCTAGCTGAAGTGGTTAGTGCCATTAGCCCATTACCGACTGTCACATAGAACATAACAATTTCAAACACCTTAATTATTAAAAGGAATTAACATAGATACAACTTCTTAAAAGTAAAACAACCCCAAATTTTATTGGAAAAGAAAATAAACGGCCACTCTTTTCCCATCAACTTGAACGGCATATAATAAACATAACTAGTTTCAACAAGGGTAGAGTTTGAATAATTGATTGTTAGATGAACAATGAGAGTAATTGTTCAGCAACGATTTGGTCACCCAATAAAATCTCAAAAGGTGGTATGAGATTTATAAGTCCGTGGGATATACAAATTTGGATTAGACAAAAGAGTCCAAATCAGTGAAACACCATTAGCACCCATCAAAGCAAACTAAAAACACGTGATTTAAAGACAAATTCATAATGTTTGTGATTAACAAGCTAACCAACTCTAATTCCATTATTTTGTGAAGCTTGTGACCACAACAGACACAATACATGCATTTTCCATCCAACGATTAAAGTTGCAGAAACAACTGAAAATTTCCCAGGAATTACGAGGTTCATCTTTTTTTTTTTTTTTTGAAGAAATACGAGGTTCATCAATTCGCTCATTTATTAGGCTGCGGGGAAAAAGCGCAACTAGTTTAAAATATTTGAGAATTAAATTTGAAATTTAATATTCTTTTCCACAGTTCAGAGAGCAGGTAAGCAAGCAAGCAAAGCTCAGAGACAGACAACACAGGGAGACGTTAGGCCCTTTCAACCAATCGCATGTGCTCCTTTGCCAGTAAACCGTTCATTCTCCTTCACTTTCTATTTCCGTCTTCAAAATCAAATTTCAGTCCCACCCCTTAACTCTGAGAAGGAGAGACAAAGGGACTAGAAGTAAACCGAGATAAACCCAACCAGAATCTGAATTCCCCCTTTTCTTCCATCGCCACATCATCAAATTGGGATGACCCACTGCACATCTGCCTTCTCAAAACTCAAATGCTAGCACCGGCCCATCAGCAAGCAATTGAGCGCGAGAACGGATACTAGTGGTTGTGGTTGGTGTTGTTCCACTTTCCTCTGCTTTGCTCGCCAACTGTTTGAAGAATGGCCGAGCTGAATCTTTGAAGAATCTGGGCTTTTGGGGTAGCTGCAAAAGATTGTTGCTTTTTCATATTTTGTGAAGGATGGCCACTGTGGCGAAGAAGGGCAGCGGAGGAATTGAGAAGAGGAGAGATGGGTCTGACTCCGCTGCTGTCAGCAGTAGCAACTGTGGGGAGTTGAGCTCCGAGGGAAGACGGAGCACTGCTGGGCCGTGTGGTTCTCCTTCCTCTAAAGGTCCTTTGGGTTGGCCGATAAAGAAAGCCGGAGAGAGGAAGAGCATGTTGTCATCCGGCGGTGCCGTTGGAGGAGATGAGGAAAATGGTGGTTGGTTAGAGGATTCGAAGTTACACAAGCTCAACTCGAGGAATTCTGGTTGGTTTTTCTTGTTTTTCTTTCCCTCCCCCTTAATTCAATTCAACTTTTCCTGCCCATTCATAATTTGGTCTGATTTTCTTTGTAGATGCGGATTTGATGAAGGAGAGGTTCGCAAAATTGTTGCTCGGAGAAGACATGTCAGGTTCTGGGAGAGGGGTTTGCACAGCTATGGCTATCTCCAATGCTATTACCAATCTCTGTGGTAGGGTTCTATCCTTCTCGCTTTCTGGAGGGCCTTCCTTTTCTTTTTTGCGTTTTGCCTACTGGGATTTTGCTTGGGGATTCCTGTAGCTACTGTGTTTGGGCAACTGTGGAGGCTTGAGCCAATCTCTCCTGAGAAGAAGTCATTGTGGAGAAGGGAGATCGAATTGCTTCTCTGTGTTGCCAATCACATAGTAGAGTTAATTCCTGCTTGGCAAACTTATGCCGACGGCAGTAAGCTCGAGGTAATTCTAATTGTGACGTTAAGTTTAAAATTCAAATTTGCAGGGGCAATGATTCAGCTTGATCAATGGAATGAAAGACGTGGTGCTGTTTGGATATGTCTACTGATTTCATTATCTTCCATTTACAGGTCATGACTTGCAGACCCAGATCAGACCTTTTCATCAATCTCCCAGCACTAAGGAAGCTTGACAACATGCTTCTTGTAAGACAGTCAAACCTTGATTTATCTGATTGTGATTTTCTCTAAATACATGATCATTCTCAAGTCGCAATCTTATTGTTTCACCCTTCATTTCGCAGGAAGTGTTAGATAGTTTCACCGACATGGAGTTCTGGTATGTTGATCAAGGGATTGTAGCTTCAGATGCGGATGGCTCAGCTTCCTTTCGGAAAGCTATTCAACGGCAAGAGGAGAAATGGTGGCTACCGGTGCCACGAGTCCCTGCTGAAGGTCTAAGTGAAAACTCAAGAAAGCAGTTGAACCACACTCGTGAGTGCACAAATCAGATACTCAAAGCTGCCATGGCGATCAACGCCACTGCTTTAATCGAAATGGATGTTCCTGACTCTTTCTTGGAATCCCTTCCCAAGGTATGAACAAATTTAAAGCAAATGAATGATGAATTTTCCCTCCGATTAATCAAGAACAATGCACAACTCAAATTGATAATTTTGCCAATTTCACAGAATGGGAGAGCTTGTCTTGGAGACTTCGTATATCGATACATAACTTCAGATCAGTTCTATGCTGATTGCCTACTCGACTGCCTCGACCTTTCTTCCGAACATGTCGCTTTGGACCTCGCGAACCGGGTTGAATCTGCAGTTTATGTATGGCGACGAAGAGCTCATCACCCGAAACCGCCCACACTCCAAAACCGGTCTACTAACAGGACGTCATGGGAGATGATGAAGGACTTGATGATCGATGGTGACAATAAGAGGGAAATATTTTCAGAAAGAGCAGAAAGCCTCTTGCTTTCGTTGAAGCAGCGGTTTCCCAATCTAACTCAGACTACACTAGACACCAGCAAAATCCAGTTCAACAAGGTGAACCCTCTTTTTGTGAATTGGGGCTATAAAATCCCAACATAGAAACGAACCCCCTCAACTACTCAAATCACTTTTACTTCAAACTCTTTTCTCACATTATTGCCAACATTCCCAGGATGTGGGGAAATCCATTCTTGAGAGCTACTCAAGAGTACTGGAGAGCTTGGCATTCAACATCATCGCACGCATCGACGACTTGCTATACGTCGATGATCTGACCAAATGCTCGGACAACAAACTCTCATCGGTCGCAACAGTCAGTGTGATTGCACACAAGAAGAAGCTCTCAATCCCATTCTCTGTAGGCACTCCCTACAAAGCAAGTTTCAGCAGCACGCCCAGCTTTTCCCCTGCCGCTGCTCCCCTTATCAGCCCTGCAAGAGGGGAAAGAACTCCGTTCGTGAACACCACCAACACCATCGCCGCCACTACCAACGTGAATCGGAATCTTCGCCGTGGTTTTGGTGTGAAGAGGGCGTTGACGAATTATCTGGGCGTTGACTCGAAATCAAAAGTCTGCGGCATCCCAACTGACGCGTCGTGCGTAGATCGGAGATCCCACGAGAACAACTCCATGGCTCGCCAGAATGAGAACAAGCCACTGCAGAATGTTGTTGCATCTTGAGTTCTTTCTGGTATACGCTTTGGGGTTAGGATTGTGTTCATTGTAGGAAATTTGCTCGAGTTCGTTGTATTAGGTGTTATATTGAATACGATTACCATTGTATGAACTTTCATTCATTTGTTTTACGAGTATCTTTCTTCTTCTTCTTCTACTTCGCTCATATGCAAAACAGAAACTGCAAGTCTGCAACCTTAGGAGCAACGAGGTATTCGTCATTCAGTTCATAAAAAGAAAGGTGGGGCATTCCGAGAATTGAACTCGGGACCTCTCGCACCCTAAGCGAGAATCATACCACTAGACCAAATGCCCTTTGTTGTTTGCAAATGATTCCTTTTAATTATTGATTTAAAACAATTTGTATGTTGTTGTAGCTCAGTATTACCGTTGATAAAATTTTTGGTATGTCTTATCACATCAAGGTCGTTGTAGTATAGTGGTAAGTATTCCCGCCTGTCACGCGGGTGACCCGGGTTCGATCCCCGGCAACGGCGTTATATTTTTAACTTTTTAGAAGCCAGATTTTGCCTGTCGTCTTCTTCTTTCTTCTTCTCGGTCCAAACTTTCAGTTTCATCTCACAACTGCCTGTCGTCTTCTTCTTTCTTCTTCTAGGTCCAAACTTTCAGTTTCATCTCACAACCACCGGAAATTATTCGCGTCCATTTCTCCGATCTCGCTTCCTCCCTCTCGTCGATCTCTACCAGCAAGCAAACCATGGTGACCAGCATTCAGATAACGGCGCTCGACGGCATCGTCAACGTGAACTCCCTCTTCACCTTCGCCGTCTTCGTGGGCCTCGCCTGGAACCCGACCAGCCCGTCCGACACCCTAATTAGCGAGCCAGCTTGCACCGCCGGCCGCAGCGTCGGAGAGGATCTCATCTCATTCCACGTCTACTCCTTTAGCTGCTTCCTCTTCTCCAGCTTGGTCGCCCTCGCCCTCAAGCAGGCCATTCGGATCTCCCGAACCCCCGGCTACTCCATTACTCAAAACAACCCGCTCCATCTCCCTGCGGAGTTCCTCGGCCAGGTCAACAAGAACCTCCTTCGGATCGGAATGCTCATCTCCGGCATCGGATCTGCTTTGGGGTGCGTGTTCCTGATGCTGGCTCTGGTCAACGTGGTTCAAGTCAAACTCGGGACATTGGGCTGTGGCAGCTACCACAGTTACGCCGCCGTTGTCCCGCTGGTGATTTTTGTTCCCGTTGCTATCTTGATCTACACTTCGCTCATTGTCTACGCTTTCACTCGCTAGTAGCGGGCCGCTTTTGTAGTTAGATTTCGTCATTTTTCTGTATTTTTTTTCTCGTTTTAGTTTCAGTGGGGAAATAGATCGAATAGGTTGTGTGCATTCCGCGGAAACATGAAAGGATGTGAATTTGGATTTGGGTTTGATGCTATGTGTGGTTGGTTGGGGGCAATTGATTGATGATGTTATTTTTGTGAGTAGAAGCTGTTTCGGATTGCACTGACCGCCATTGCTAGTTTAATAGGAATTTTTGCCGAAAGCAAAGCAAGCTTGTTCTAGAATCCATGGTGGAAAGCAGTAGGTAGCTCAACTAAACAAAAAAAGTTTATTTTTTGCCACATTCATAGTAGTGCTATCGCCACTATGATGCTTATGGAGTTCAACGTGTAAGCACCTTGGCAGTTTTCATTCCCTTCAGTCCCTCTATAAAACCCTTCAACGATCACAAGCTCAAACCGTGGAGCAAAGAAGTAGTAGTGTACTTGAGAGTGAAGAGAAAAAGGAAATTAGCCAGAGAGGAGAAGAAAAAAGGAAAGAAATAGCCATGGCTGCCATCTCAATGAAGTCCTGCATGTGCCTTGTTGTGTTTGCTGTGTTTCTTGGGATATCTGGGTTTGCTGCAGTGGATGGAGCAGGGGAGTGTGGGAAATCCACCACTCCTGACAGGGAAGCTTTCAAGCTGGCCCCTTGTGCATCGGCAGCACAGGATCAGAACGCTGCTGTTTCGAGCCAGTGCTGCGCTCAGGTGAAGAAGCTTGGCCAAAACCCGGCTTGCCTCTGTGCTGTGATGCTCTCCAACACTGCCAAGAGCTCTGGCGTGAAGCCGGAGGTTGCCATGGCCATTCCCAAGCGCTGCAACCTTGCTGACCGCCCTGTGGGTTACAAGTGTGGAGGTTAGTTTGTTTCTGCTGCAAAGATTAAACCCTTCTGTTTTTCTTTTCTAAGATTCTGTTGGTTCTATATATGATCGTTGTTGGTTCGTTTGTGTTTCATGTTGCAGATTACACATTGCCTTGAAGTTATGGAGCTGGAACTGTGGACTCTGTGGTGGCCTTTGTATAATGTTTTATGTACTTAGTTGTGCTGATGAACTGGAGTGTTACAGAGTTGTTGCTTGCTAGTTGATCTAGCTCAAGCATATATGTACTACTGCTGTGACATCCAGATCTATCCCAAATAATGAATAATGATTGGATCATAAGAAGTAAAAATGTTTGCTTTGCTGCTGGTTTTGTGTAGTTTATCATTTTTTTGTTGATTTTAACCCTCTGAAAGTGGGTTTCGAGTAAATCCGTAACCTAACCGGAAAGACCAGATCTGGCCTTTGAATTTGTTGGCAGTTGCCAGCTTTCTGATCTGGGGTAATGCCATTAGGAAGTGATTGAGATGGAATCAAATGAAGTTCTATCCTGCTAAGCTTAAAAACCACTGGTTTGAACGCTCGACTTCCCCAATTGTTCTTGTTGATAATGGATTTCGTTGGTTTGGTTGGCGAGAAATTGCTTAGTACAACAGGCTATCTTAGTGAATCGGATTTTGGAAACAACATATTTGCATTATTGCATACCAATATTCATCTGAATATTCTTGAAACCATGATTATCTAAGCAATGAGGTAGTGTAACTATTATAGTGACCAAGCCAAATGGTGTACACGTATACTGCACTCCGGAGCCGCAAGGAAGAAAGTGACCATGCCAAATGATTGGTTTCATTCTTTGGACAACAATGGGAATTGGGTCTTTATTTGGATGGATAATTTGTGGCGGACCAAAAATCTAAGCCCAACAATTTAAGGCCCACTATCCGCTCACTGTCACAGCTCCAACAATCCAACTCTCACAACCCAAATCGAATCAATAGTGCAATGCAATATCATTTTCTCCTCTTGCAATTTGCAAAAGTTAGTGAACGAGGCATTTTTAACAGAACATTCTAAAGAAGAACAAACACTCAGATAGAGACACTTCACACAACAACTAATTTGCTGGGACAAAAAGAACCCAGCAAACCACAGCACGTATCGATTTCACATGCCGCATGATGATGATCGATCATGATCTACAATTCATCCATCCAGCCGATCGACTACTCGTCTATCTCTTCTATACCGAGCTAACTTCTACCAATATTGACACTAGCACACTCCATAGTACACATATAGTTATGGTTATAAAGATCAACACTAGTATTCCATCTTTGTTTATTTCGGTAGGTAGACATGCAAATTGCAAACTAGTCCTCCTCCTCTTAGCTTTTGGGGTTCCCTGCACATGCACATGATCCCAAGTTTCAGCACAAGTACAGATCAATAAGTAATACTGTTGTCTTAAAAAAAAAAACGAAACTTTTGGAATACAGAACATTTCTTAATAACGTCCAAACTTCATACCTCAATTAGATCATTAGTTGCCGGGCGTTATAGATCAGTAATAAAGCGAACCTGCATGATAAGAGATCCTGTTTAGTATGCAATTGAGAATGCATGAGAAGAAAGGGGCAGAAATGAAATCAAAAGGTATACCTTTCCACCAGTTGCCTCTAGAGGCAGAGTTAGCGTTGTTGTTGCCATTTGGGTCGTCGGTAGTAGTGTTGTGACGGGCGGAGGCGGAGGGGTTCCCGTGGGCCGGCGGGGAGGAAGAGGAGTTGTAATTCTCTTGGCCGCCGTAGTAGATTGATGAGCTCAAGTAGCACGACGGCTCCACCGTCCCACCATGTCCACCACCGCCGTTTTTCTCCTTTCCACCTCCATAACGGGCGTTGCAATTCTCTGTCAAATTCATATATAATCAACACATTACCAGTATGATTAGTAAGACTGAAACAAATTATCCTTCCTAGTTTAGGAAATATATCAATCTATATACCTGCAGAAGGAGAAGTAGTTCCGGCGTATTTGTTACCACCGCCGTCCCTCCCCATAATCTACAATGATCAACCAAATCAGCTAGTGAACTGAACATCTTCAAAATTAATTAACGTGGCTAATTAGGAGAAAAACAGTTGGATGATCAGTACCGTGGAAGGTGGGGGGAAGATGGTGCCGAAGTAGCTGGAAGAAGATGATGATGAAGAAGAATCATTAGGACCAAAAAGATGATCCATTGAAGAAGAAGAGGAGCTACCACCAACTTGCTTCTTGTTTTCCATGCTCGCTCTATATGGTTTGTTAAAAAAGAAAAATTTAAGGGGAAAAGCAGAGTTTTTTTCCTTGACCTCTCTGCTTTTTGACAGAGGCAGAGGCAGAGGCAGAGAGGGGTGGTTGGTAGCTAATGGAGAGAGATAGCAGAGCTAAGTGAAATTTCTGGGGTGAAGGATGGAAGCTTCTTCTGTATGTTCGTTTTGGGTTGATGATGAGTAAACTGATCAATTTGGCTGCTATTTATAACCCCAAAAACGGCAAGAAAAGGAAACGGCAGAAAAACAGAGTATTCGGTTTCCAACGAGAGGCTCCTTCTTTCTTAATTTGCCTGCCTTTCCTTATCCTTTTTCCCTTTTTTCAGCTACACATATTCTTTTCAACGGGCTTTGGCTTTAGACGATTCAGCTTGGAAAATATGATCTGGAATATTAGGCGGGGGGAGCATTGCATGCTCTTATAAGATTCCATGCAACTTACTCAAACTATACCCAAAACAGAGCATCTAAAAAACATGCTGAATTGCCATCAAAGAAGAATGAAACTACAGTAAGATAAAATCCATTCTCTCTCTCAGCCACTTGGATTGAATCAAAAGGTCTATCGACATACCCATTTGGATTCGTTAAACAAAATCTTTAGAATTGATCAAAGTGCTTGTGTTTTTAACGTTTTCATACCCTGGAAATGGGTTATATGCCCCACCCTCTGGGGGGCCTCTTTTCAGTTCTGCCATCAATTTCTGGTTCAGAATTTACAGAGAACACATATTATGTACAGTTGACTCTGTATCTATATATCCATCTTCATCAGGCCAGGATCCATTTCTGTGCGTTTATTCGTTTATTAGATATGTCAAAGAAAGATACCCAGATGATGCATGGTTACCACCCAAATGTAGACACAGACGGAAACCCAAATAGAATTTTATTTCCCGATCGCACTCTTTGAATTGGGAATCCAATTCACGAGTAGTACGTACCTGACCGAATAATCATATATGTACGTGGGTACCGGGCCGGGCCGTTCACGGGCTAGCACGGCACGGTTAGAGCACGGGCACAAAATAAATGGGTCAGCCCGACACGTGCACGAATAATTTATGGGTCGTGCCGGGCCTAAACTTCATGGGCACGGGCACGAGCACGGTATATAAGTGGGCCGTGTCGGGCCTAATATTTCCGAGACTTTATTGAGTATAAGAATGGACATGACACGAAAATAATATTTATTTGATAGAAAATAAATATAAACAGAATTATAGGTTCAAATATTACAAAACACAAGTAGAAAAATAATTATTTGTTGTTGTTAGAAGTGTCATAAAGATATATACGTAATTACTAACATAAGTAAAAATAGACAAAAAATTAAACAAAACCAAATCACACTCGCTATATATCTAATTTTCTTTTCCCCCTTATATGTTATTTTTCTCAAACATTATCGGTTAATACTATATTCCTCCGTGCAATTTTCACCTTCTTTTTCATTCTCTATTTTATTTTCGTCTTTTTCATTAAACATGAATACGAGCATGGCACGAGCACGAATAGGCACGACACGATTCGAACCGTGTCCGGGCCTGGGTCGGGCCTAGCAAAGTTAACAAATGGGCATGCATGGCACGACACGAAAAATGACGGGCCGTGCTTGATAAATGGGTCTGAAGCGTGCCCGTGCCGGCCCAAGCACGGCCCAACGCCCATGTACAATCATATACCCCAGCTAGAGCTAACCTGACCCAACGCAGTGGAGGACCCAGGAATTACATTAAGGGTGTTCAACAATAAAACAAAATTAACAAGGATTGTCAAATAGTCTTGAATTCAAATACCACCATTAATAAATCAAAATTTTACAAAGAAATTTTAATCTAAAATTGAATCAAGGTTTGTCAGTTGACAAATCTATCACCAACGTAGGTCCGCCCCTGACCCAACGGTATATAGAGGTGTCAATCGGACAGGTTCGGGTTGTTCGATTTGAGTTGAGTTTAATCTGATTATACGTTAGTTGACTTTCTAGTTTATTGGATTGTGGATTAGGCGGGTTTAGTTTATCGGCTTGTGAGTTGCTTGAATCAGCACATTGTATTACTTATATTTACACTAATTTCAAATATTTATTTTTTATTTTTGAGAAAATTTATTTCTACCTTTTTATGTTCTTATACAAGTTTTTTTTATAGATTTATCATAAAAGATAAAATACTTATCAAAGTATTACATCAATTTTGTATTTTTTGAATGATTGAGTTATTACAATCGTATGACTTAACCTACCAAACGTAACCCTCATTTTAAAACCAAAATGCAAATCGAGTACAACTAAAATCTTTACTTCAGTGTCGTAAAATAATTATCATTTAGTACAATGTTATACTAATAAGAAGTTTTTTTTAATTACATTTGAGTCATACTAGGATATGTTAGAGTTCAAGAAGGCATAATTCCACATATGTCTAGGCGCGCCTAAACGCTGAACAGTGACAAAACGCCTCGCCTAGACCTTAGTTAGACATACAATTAGAAGTTTACAACGTTTAGACCCCCGCGAAGGTAGACACAATTAATCAGTATTAGGCTATTAGTCGTGATTAATTACAGTGAGACACAATTGAGCGCTGGCAAAACTAAGTATTTAAAAATTGTAGATAATCTGCCCAAAATGATGTCATCTCCAGGTGTCATATAGAGTACGTGTCCTTCACTCCTCCTTCCTCGATATGAAATTGAATTCTAGGTTAATGTGAAAGACTCAAAACTTTGAAATTGCGACATCTTCTCCTTTTCGCTAAACCCCTTTTGTCCTCTGCCCCATTTTTTTGTCCTTTCAGAGCCGTCACAATCAATGTAGTCAAAATTGTGCTTTAAACCTTATATATGTCATCTAAACACTTTTACGTAAAATCAAACTTTTTCTTACTATATAATATAGTCAACATCGCGCTTTAAACTTTAAAGTCGCTTTTATGTTTTTAGGTCATTGAAACACTTTGTTGAATATCATAGTTTTAACTACAGTGGTCACAATCCACGAATTTTGCAGTTATGCTTTTCGACGCCTTCGATCGCAAAGCATCCACAATCCTGACTTCTTCTGTTCTTCTCCAGCTCTGGTCGACCCGACCTGCGCCTTTTCACCATCGTCGACTACGAAGCAATCACAATAACCACGACTTCTATAAACTTATGATTCTAAAAAAATCATAACATATATTTTACTTGTTGTTAAGGTTTAGCTAAGTTATTAATAATTTGAAATTAAACTAAAGCAACAGTGATCTATAAAATTGTTATTTCTACTAATTAAAACCATCTAAACATTATTTAGACATACACACTAGGCACTAGACAAGACTCCAATACATGAGTAATGACTAACACCTTTTTTGGTTTCTATTTTGGATTGGTTCTTGTTAAATTGAGCCAAAGCTTCAAACACAAGGCATATATGATGGTTTTCATCATCCTAGATATACCGTACGATAGAGCAGCTCTGCGGACTATAACTATTATGCCTGAGCTGATGCCTGCCCATCTTGATTGATTGGGATTAATTGGAACCAAAGAGTACGTACTAGAATATTAGCTAGGGATCTTGTCCTAGTCCTTGATACCATGTTCATACCCAATATGATGATATATACTCGATCGGTCCTCTTCACATTAAGAAAGAGGTTAACCATGCATCGTGATGAACAGTTGAATATGGATGGGTGAGGCAGTGGGCAGATTGGATGAGTTTTGTTACGAGCGAATTGATATGATTGTAACCCCTATCTACCCACATTTTATTTCAGGTTGGGTTGGGTGAGTGATAGATGAGTGCGATTAGATTGTGGGTCACTTCTCAAAAGCAATTCTCCAACTACCCATTAACAAAGTTTAGTAACATTTATAATAAGTTTCTCACAAATTAGTAAGAGGACTCCAACAATTTAGACGTTTTCCACCTTGTTTCGTGTGGATACGTGTAGTATTTGCATAAAATTTTTCATTGCTTCATCAACCAATATTTGTGTAGAGAAAATTGACGCATTTTGTGACATTGATACAATTAATAGTAAAACAATTTGAATCCCAATATCTAGTGGACGTTACGTCCCTTCGCGGACTTTTAATAAAATTGAAACCATATCTAATGGACATTACACAACATAGTAACCAATAATAATAGTAACTACTAGTAAAAAATATTATTTATTAATGCACCACCTTTGGTTAGAAAATATATATGATGACTGTTCCATATTATAAACAAGAAAATTTTTGTCATGTGAAAAAATGTTGCTGACTTTCGGGTGACTCGCAATTCACCCACCACCCAACCCGAATGAGTGCGGGTAGTAGATTTATCAATCTACAAGCCACCCACAACAATCACGTATTCACTATGATTTGGATTATCTGTGGTTGGATTGATGTCAAATCGCGGATTAACCATTTATGCCTGCCCACCCCTAATTGAAGGATGTATATGTTGGGGATAACATTAACATGTCAATCAGTTGTCCAAGGAGGAAACGACGAGGACTTAAATGTATATAATGTATACTGTATAGGTTAATTTGTAAGATTCATTTAATTAGTGTACTGTATAGGATTTTAGTTTATTATATATATGAGATATGTAATGGATAATGTAATTTTTCCTCTTCTGATGAAATGAAATCTGCCTATCGGCTTTACCAAACGACATGGTATCAGAGGGTGTAATCCACCTTTCTTGCTTTCTTTGATTTTTTTTTTGTTTGTTGCCATTTTCTTTTCGTCTTCTCGAGGGTTCCAGGAGAAGGGAACATCTCGTTCCAGTTTCTCTTTCCTCTGCTTCTCGATCGTTCTTCGATCGTTCCGATCCAGTTTTCCGCTCACTCTATTCTTTGATTAGTTCGTCTTTCTGTGACGATTGCCGATTCGTTCGTTTCTCAGCGACGATCGTGAGTCCTGATTCCGATTGCTCAGTTCTTTTCCAGTCGATTCATCAGTCAGATCGATGGCGTCCCTTTCAGCTGTGAATGCGACGTTTGGTCCACCGCCTTCTGGAGCTGCGTCTGGCGGTGTCCCTCCGGTCACTGCGATCCCTAGCAGTGTTCCTCCGGTTAGCGCGATGTCTGGTGGATCTGCGTCCATCGGTGCTACACTGTCGCCGGCGCATCCATTCTTTGTGGCCAACGGCGATCTTTCTGCTCAACAACTGGTTACAGTGCTTC